TGTCCAGGACTTTTCCCATCAAGGGAGCTTGCAGGGCTGGGCATTGTTTTGGGTGGTTTCCGAGGGTGAGTATGCACTGACCATAATGGCCTAGGACATGGCTGTGGTGTTACTGCAACATTATAAACAGCTGCAAGGAGGCCACATTAATTTGGGTTTCTTTCTTCCATAATAAACCTAGTTTAATGTAACTTTTTTTATTTTATAGCAATGCTTACCTTAAAATTCAAAGACAAGCCAGGCGGTGGTGGCACATGCCTTTAATTCCAGCACTTGAAAGGTAGAGGCTGGTGGATCTTTGTAAATTCAAGGCCATCCTGGTCTACAGAGCGAGTGCCAGGACAGTTTCCAAAGCTACACAGAGAAACCCTTTATCAAAAACAAAACAAAATAAAAAGGAAAGTGCAAAGATAAAACTGTCCTTTTTTTTTTTAAAAAAAAGATTCCATTTTTAACTATGTGTATGGGTATGTCTCTGTGTGCATTTGTGCTTGTGCCAAGATGCCAGAGCCTGACGTGGTTGCTGGGAACTGAACTTGTGTCCTCTGTAAGAGGAACAGTTGGCCTTAACTACTAAGCCATCTCTCCAACCTTTTCTTTTGATGTATTCTCATCCCTGTACTTAACTACTGAGCCATCTCTCCAACCCTTTCTTTTGATGTATTCTCATCCCTGTACTTTTCTGGTAAATTTTTTATTTTGAAAGCTGAGGATCTCACTCTGTTGGCAGAGCACTTGCCCTTGCTTAGCTTGTAAAGGCGATGGGTTCAATACCCAGCACCAGAAAGAAAACTATTTTAACCTGGGCCTGATGGTGCAGGCCTGGAATCTGAGCTATTCAGATGAGGCAGGAGGATCGCATATTCAAGGCTGGCCTTTCCTCCTTTGTTAATGGTCAACTGAATATGCTTATGTGTGTTTTTCCTGGGCTCTTTACTGTGGTACAGTGACTAACTTTTCTACTCTTTTTTTTTTAAAGATTTATTTATTTATTTACTTATTATGTACACACTGTTCAGCCTCCATGTATGCCTGCAGGCCAGAAAAGGGCACCAGATCTCATTACAGATGGTTGTAAGCCACCTTGTGGTTGCCTGGAATTGAACTTAGGACCTCTGGAAGAGCAGTCAGTGCTCTTAACCTCTGAGCCATCTCTCCAGCCCACTTTTCTACTCTTTAACCAAGAATCCATCATCTCAATCGCGGTAGTTTTATTGTAAGACTTGACATTGGACAGGGTCCATTTCTAGCACTGTTCTTTGGGATGGCGTCAGCTTTTGGGGGGATTTTTGCCTCTCCATAGGTACCTCATAACCATTAACTGACATAATAATATATGCTCATTTGCTGCTGTTTTTATTTAATTTCACTAATCTATAAAATTGATAGTAACTGGTAAGTTCACAGCATTCAGTCTTGCTATCCATGAACTAGAACGTTTTTGCCTTTAGTTCTTTGTAGTTTTCTTAATAAAGATTGTGTGTGTGTCTCACTTGTTCCTAAGTATTTTTGAGGTTCTTGATTTAAATATTATGTTTTAATTTTGATTTTTGTGATAATTGTTGAAACTTAAGGATTTGATTGGCCTCTGTGTTGACCTTGTATCCTGTAACTATTTGAAATCTGTTTACCAGTTTCAAGAGCCTTTTGTGCTTTCTCTCGGTTCCCAACCAACAGTTGGGAAATCTTGAAGAAAGACAATTTGACGTCATTATTCCCAAAAAAGTACATTGGTGTATTTTTCATTGTTTATTTGAAACTGATCTCTCATATAAGTTCCTCAAGTTAACCGACTCTTGGACAGGGTCTCTTTCTAGCTTAGGCTGGCCTGGAACTCACTATATAACTCAGTCTGCTGTCAAATTCATGATCCGTCTCCCTCAACGTTCCAAATCCTGTGATTACAAGTGTGCATCTGTACGTATTTATTTTCCTTTGTTTTGTCTTATTGCATTAACTATGATTTCAGCAATGATATTGAAAAGGACTCTGGCGAGAAGGAACATCCTTACCTTGTTTATGACTTTAGTGGGAATGATACTTGGATCTTGCCATTAACATTAGCTAAGCCAGTTGTGGAATACTTAGGAACCTGAGGCATGAAGATAGTTTGAGGTCAACCTTAGGCCAACCTGAGCTACACCGTGACTTCAAGGTCAGCCCGAGCTATGTAGAGAAACTCTCAAAGTACATGAAACTCCCTGCATACACCAAAATCTACCTCTGTAAAAAAATTTTTTTTTGAGACAGGGTTTCTCTGTGTAGCCCTGGTTGTCCTGGAACTCACTTTGTAGACAGACCCCAGAAGCTGCCAGCAAGAAGGAAAGATTCCTGTAAGTGTGAAAAAAGGAATCTCATGTCTATGATAAGATGGTTACCATGGTCATCACCATGGTTCTATCTCAAGACTCAATAAGCTGCTTTGTCGTATGGTCTAAGAAACTTCAGTGTGTATAGTTCTAAGTTGCTAGGTGGCAATATTTGTTACTCAGTGAAATAAATGTGTCTAGTATTCTATATTAATATAGAAGGCTTGTTCTAACTCTTGGATGGCCCAATGTTTCCCTGGTTCTTAGTTCTAGAGGTTGGCTACATTTGTAGGCAGTGAATGCTAGTTCCACAGGGAGCTTGCTTCCAATGGAAAATGTCTTAGTTAGGGTTTTTATTGCTGGAATGAAACACCATGACCAAAGCAAGAACTTCCATATCACTGTTCATCATTGAAGGAAGTCAGGACAGGAACTCAAGTAGAGCAGAACCTGGAGGCAGGAGTTGATGCAGAGGTCATGGAGGAGTGATGCTCACTGCCTTGCTCAGCATGGCTTGCTCAACCTGCTTTCTTATAGAACCCAGGACCACCACTCCAGAGATGGCACCACTCACAATGGGCTGGGCCTTTTCTATTAATCATTAATTAAGAAAATATCCTACAGCTGGATGTGAAGAAGGCATTTTTCTCAATTGATGTTCCCTCCTTTCAGATAACTCTGCTTGTGTCAAGTTGACACAAAGCTATCAAGCACAGAAAACCAAGCTTGGAAATCTTTTTGAGGAATGTTTGTAAGAGCATTCTAACTTCAAGTTGACTTTGCATTGCCACCAAGAAGTACCATTTTCCCAAAAAGAGGAACATGGGATGTACTCACTCATATTTGGTTTCTAGCCATAAATAAAGGACATTGAGCCTATAATTCGTGATCCTTGAGAAGCTAAATAAGAAGGTGAACCCAAAGAAAAACATATAGGCATCCTCCTGATTATTAACCTTCATCAGGGCGATGAAAAGAGACAGAGACAGAGACCCACTTTGGAGCACCAGACTGAAATCTCAAGGTCCAAATCAGGAGCAGAAGGAGAGAGAGCACGAGCAAGGAACTCAGGACCGCGAGGGGTGCACCCACACACTGAGACAATGGGGATGTTCTATCGGGAACTCACCAAGGCCAGCTGGCCTGGGTCTGAAAAAGCATGGGATAAAACCGGACTTGCTGAACATAGTGGACAATGAGGACTACTGAGAACTCAAGAACAATGGCAGTGGGTTTTTGATCCTACTGCACCTACTGGCTTTGGGGGAGCCTAGGCAGTTTGGATGCTCACCTTATTAGACCTGGATGGAGGTGGGTGGTCCTTGGACTTCCCACAGGGCAGGGAACCCTGATTGCTCTTCGGGCTGACGAGGGAGGGGGACTTGGTTGGGGGAGGGGGAGGGAAATGGGAGGCGGTGGCGGGGAGGAGGCAGAAATCTTTAATAAATAAATAAATAAAATAAAAAAATAAAAAAAAGAAGTACCATTCTGCTTTGTTTGGCTTCAATTTTCACTAATGGTAAAACTAAACTGCAAAGTTGAATGTTTTTATGGGATGATCTCACAGTACTTTATCATTTGCAAGGGTTTGGATCATACAAAATAGTGGTCAATGGAAATGGTGACCTTGAAATAGAGTGTATATAGAATTTGTAATCATTTGCAAAAATATGCCACTCTTTGACTGAAATTCCATTAGACAATTCCAAGTTATGTCCAGCAGACATTTTAATATAGGCTTAAACATATCTAAGAATGGATCTGTGAGATGGTTTAATAGGGCAAAAGTCCCAAGACAACCTGTGGACCCAAATTCCATCCTGAGAACCCATGTGGGAAAAGGAGAGTGCTGAATCCTGCAAGTTCCCATGTCACATGTATTCACACACATACAAGAGTACACACACTAAATACATAAATACATACATATTTATAATATATATTTAGATAAAATTGAGAGGGGGAGGAGAGAGAGACAGAGAAAGAGAATGAGAAAGAGAGAATGTGTGTGACAGAGAGAGAGAGAGTGAGAGAGAGAGAGAGAGAGAGAGAGAGAGAGAGAGAGAGAGAGAGATCTGAGGCCTCTTCTGATAAATAGCAATACTTCTTCCTGCTCTGGCATCTTATAGAGAAGCCAGGGCTGGCCTGGAGTCTTTGACCTTTCTTGGGGTTGGGGTGTGGACAGTTTCTCAGGACTGCTCTCCTTTGTGAAGTTCCCATCCCTTTCACAGGTACCACACACTCAGCATGCCACACTCTTCTGTCCTATCCTTGAGGAAAAGTTACCTCCACCCAGCCATGGGACTCAGACAGAACACATAGCAACCATTTTGGATGACCCACATTCCCAGTCTCGTTATCCTGTTACCAAATGAATCTTCTCTAGTTTCCCCCTTTTTTTTTTATCGAGAAAAGGAAAAAAAGTTTCAGCCTCCTCCCAGCCTCCCATATCCCTCCCCCTCCTCCCACCCTTCTTCCCCTACCCCCACTTCTCTCCCCCTCCCTCTCCAATCCAAAGAGCAGTCAGGGTCCCCTTGGAAAGTCCAAGGTCCTCCCCCCTCCGTCCTTGTCTAGGAAGGTGAGCATCCAAACTGGCTAGGCTCCCACAAAGCCAGAACATGAAGTAGGATCAAAACCCCGTGCCATTGTCCTTGGCTTCTCATCAGCCCTCATTGTTCGCCATGTTCAGAGAGTCCGGTTTTATTCCATGCTTTCCACAAGCCAGCACACTGTATGATTAAGCTTAGCAATGCTTGCAGTCTATGCTTTCCATATGAGGGTAGAATATTGATCAGCTTTAAGAAGGAAGTTCTGATCCCTGTTACAGGGTGAGTGAACCCTGAGGACACAGTATGCCAAATAAAAGCACTAAAGCCTAGTCACGAGAACACCAAGGATTACTACACAATGCTAAATCACATGTGCGTGCACACACACACACGATTCCAGTTATATGAGTTACTTGGAATAGTCAAAACAACCCAGACAAAGTAGAATTATGGTTTCTAGGGTTTGGGGGAAGAGAAAATAGAGTTATTATTCAATGGGACGGAGTTTTACTCCTACAAGGTAAAGGGAGAGTTTGGAAGCTTGTTGGTAGGGATAGCTGTATGGTATGAATGTGTTCAGGTCACTGAACTATGAATTTTATGTCATGGGCTTTATCACAATAAAAAAATGGAAATTTTTTTTAAGTGTTGACATATAGTGAAGAGAAACACCTGGTTTTAGTGCCATGGGCAGCCTCCATGACACCTGTAGGGATTCCCACAGCCCTGACTGCAGAGCATAGCTAAAGTGAAGAAGAGTACGGGAGATGGGCAAGTTTTCACCCTGTAATGTGGGAGGAGAGGGTCTCATCAGTGTGATGCCTTGTTGTATTTAATCTGTGGTCTGGGTTCATTTTTATCCAATAGCTAAAATGTCATGTGATTAAACGTATTCATGGTTAGCAGACCAGAGCATCTGTACATGCCAGCCTCTGCCTCAGACTCTTCAGTCTTAGCTGAGGAGAGAGCTCCTCTTGCAGGCCATTTTCTCAAGAGGTAAAAACCCGTGGAGGCGTTTCTGCAACTACCCTGGAGACACCTGGTGGAGATTCTTGTCTCCTGGTCTCCTCCTCAAGAGGGGCAGTGTCTTTCTGCAGGGCTGGGGTCTTGTTTGAGGAAAGCGCTTCAGGGAGCAGATCCTAAAATGAAAGCACAAAGGAAAGAAGGTAGAGATTAAACATGGGAATTGCAAGAGCACACAACTGCTGTTTTTATGCCGGGCACCAGCAGAGAACAAAGCTGAAATCAGCCTATTGCAAAGAACCGTGAGATCAAACCTGCTGGGATCAAAGTGGTTCCTAGGGACTCAGCAGCCTGCAGGGATAAAACCTCATACAGTGCACTCTAGAATCTCTGCAAAACATCAACCACAATGTTCTGCACACACAGAGAAATTACTAGATAAATGAAGAAGTAGAAGAACATGAGCCATTAACTTCAGAATGTCAAAGATGATAGGAATAGCAGACAGGGACTTAAAAAGTCATTTAATATTTTCAAAATTGTATGGGAGAAACACAGATATAATAAGTAAAAATTAAAATAGGTAGTCAAGCAAATGGAAACAGAGGAACTCTGCAGTTGAAAGGTATATCCGCACTAAAAAAAATCATAGAGGGGTTGGGTCATAGAGATGAGTCAAGCAATAGAGAACTTGCTACGCAAGCAGGAAGACCTGTTTGGTTCCCCGAAATGAAGTAAACAACAACAACCAAAACAAAACAAAACAAAAAGGCATGATGGAGTGTGCTTGTATTCCCAGTGCTGGGGAAGCCAGTGCAGGCAGATCCCTGGGGCTTACTATCTGTCAACCTAGCCTCAGAAAACAATATGGAGGCTAGACGGATGACTTAGTAGTTAAGAGAATTTGCTGCTCTTTCAGAGGACCTAGTTTTGGTTCCCAGTGCCTACGTGGATGCGCACGACTATCTGTAACTCTAATTTCAGGGGATCCAACACCCTCTTCTGGCCTTCATGTGTTCTGTATGCACATAGAACACATAAACACATTTATACAAACATTTGTACTCATAAAATAAATATAAATAAACCTTAAAAAACAAAAACAAAAGACAAGGTGGATGAACTCTGACTTCCATATGAACACACACATACATAGCCACTTACGCAAAAGATAGAGAAAATAATCATGAAAATGCCTAAATAGGGTGCTGGCCATGGCAGAAGAAAGGTTTAAACATGACAGCAGAGCAACAGAAATGGTCCAATCTGAAGCTGAGAAAAAAAGCTTCTAAGAATAAGTGACTTAATTATTTAATGCTCAACTCTAAAAGGGACACCTAAATCACCTCGTCCAAGGCAGCAGAGAGAGGAGAAAGAACGTAAGATCAGAAAGAAGGTGTGGAACATTGCAGAACACTGTCTTCTGGGCATAGTATGCCTAGAACAAAATGATGAGAATGTGGAAGAGATGGCTTGGTGGATAAGGCACCAGTTCCATGAGCAAGCTAACTAGGTAGACTGGCCATATCAGCAAGCTCTCAGTTCAACTGAGCATTCTTGCCTTGATGAATAAGGTGGAGAGCACACCTCAGGTTTCCATACTCATGTGTACACATGTGCAGGTGTAAACTTGTACCACACACAAACATGTCCCACATACACATAAACACACACAAATCCAACACACGTAAAACCCAAAGAAACCCAAGTCCCTGTGATGTATGGGGTTAATACCTAAAAGTCTAACAACTTGGTTGCTGCAGTCTGTGGCTGAGGAAAGAACCCTTGGAACTGACTCTTGATGGGCCAATTCTACCCAGTCTTTGCATGGACACTCTAGAAGTCCATTCGACAGTGTGGACTGTTGAGAACATTAATTTAAGATGTGTTACATTCGTTCATGCTGTGGAATATTTGTTTAGTGATACAAAGATGTGTAATAGTTCTTTGATTAAAGAAAATTAACCCAGGGTCAGGAGGCTGTCAGCAACTAGCTGACAGGAAATGGCAGTGAGGAACCATGTATTGCTCGGGTTCTTAAGCGGGGGTGCAACAGAAGGATGCCTCTACACCTCTTTGCTTCCTCTTTTCAAATTTGAGTGGGACATTAACCTACTTCTACAAGCAACATCCTACCTGAGAAACTCAAAGACTCAGATCCATGCACAGAGAGTTTTAAGAGAGACAGTTGGAATGGCATCTCATGCCTTATATGTGAACACTAGGAAAGTTGAGGCTGGAGGATTGCTATGAGTTTAGGGTCATCCTTGGCTACCTTGAGAGTTCCAGGCCAACCAGGGCCGAACAATAGGACCTTGTTTCAAAAATTTTAAAACCACAATGAACACCTCCCAAACCCAGAAAAACAATGCAAACTAAACAAAAACAAACCAAAAGATAAGAAGGAAAAGTGAAAGTACATGCAAGGCATCAAGTAAATCCCAGGCCAGATGAGCTAGTGCCAAACTTATCTTAGGCCTGTCTGAAGCCAAGTTCCCCATACCAGTGGCACAAAATGATCTGAAATCCCCACTAAATTATCCAGGAGCCAGAACTTGCAATTTGTCACAATTGCTGCCTCTCCAGCTCCTTGCCTCATCTTCTCAAATTTGAGTTGGACGTTAACCCACTCATGAGTCAGGAGGCCAGGTGAGAGATCCATTCAGTGTGGTTCAGTCTCAGTTTGTCCTCATCCCTTCTAACAAAGGGAATCACTGTCCATAGCTACAGCTTGCCCACAAACAGTTTCCAAAGGAAGGGTTTGCACAGTCCCGGCATCACTGGCTCTCCTTTCCAACTTTCCTTACAAGGGCCGCCTCTCACACTTGCAAAAACAATGGTACACTTTTTGTCTATCTAATCTTAGCTACAGAATACAGAAACCTAAGTGAACACAAAGGACCAATTCACAATATTAGTGTAAAGGAAGCGTTCTATACAATAACATGAATATATAATATAATATATTATAATGCAACATAAAACACGGTGGTGCGGGGAGTCATGCCTTACCTTCTGTATTTCTTTTTATTCACAAAACAGTGTCGGGAAGTGATTAACATGGGCAGCAGCAAGTAGTGAGGACTTTGCTTAATGTGCCTCATCTCCTCCATCTCTGTTGCTCAAAGAATGAACCCTGGAGGGCAAATTCCTTTTCATGCACGTCAAACCCTTAATATTGCGAAACATGGCCAACTGGAAAGTTCAAGTCTCAGACCTACAATGGGACTACACGGAAATATATTGCAATATATTCAGCTGTGTTCACAGCTACTTAGGAGTGCATGGATTGGAGTCATGGGATTGCCAAAAGGTACTATCAAAATAACTTCCCGATGAGTGTGGTTGCTTGTGATTGTAATTCTTAGCACTTGGGAGGCTAAGGCAAGAAGACTGAAGTAAGTTCCTGGGCACATAGTGAATCTCTCTTCTCTACCCTCTCTCTCTTCCTCTCCCTCTCTCTCTTCATTCTAAGGGATTGAACCCAACATTTGTACGCACTAGCTGATTCTCTGATGATGTGGGAAGCCCTTCTGCATATGTGTTGCTTTTATTGGTTGATGAATAAAACTGTTTTGGCCAGTGGCTTAGCAGAGTATAACCAAGTGGGAAATCCAAATATATATATATATATATATATATATATATATATATATATAGAGAGAGAGAGAGAGAGAGAGAGAGAGAGAGAGAGAGAGAAGGCAGAGGCAAGAAGACACCATGTAGCTGCCTAAGGAGAAAAACGCTGCAGGAACCTTACTGGTAGGCCACAACTTCGTGGTGATACACAGATTAATAGAAATGGGTTAATTTAAGATGTAAGAGCTAGCTAGGAATATGCCTAAGCTATTGGCCAAATAGTGTTGTAATTAATATAGTTTTTGTGTGATTATTCCGGTCTGGGATGCCAGGAAAGGAATATGCAGTTTCCATTTACACTGTGTGATATGGTCTCAGCTCTTCTTTAGGATTTTTATTTGCTAGGCTGGCCTTGAATTTAGCATGTATCTCAGGCTTCTAAATCTGGTGTGTTTTCCTTTCCTTACAAATAAGCCTACTGGTTATGAGAGTACATTAGATTGTTGAATATCTTAGCATCAAATGTAAACAAGGTCAGTGTCTTCCAGGTTGGATTTGGGACAGCAAAGCTGGAACATGTAGAGAAATTCACTAAGGATATTAAGGACATATTGATGATTGGGAAGACATCTAGTGTCAATTCCAGGTGAGAAAGTTCTCTAGCCAGGTGTAAACTGGTACAATCTTTAGGAGTTTGTAGAAAAGACGGTGGGAGACTAAAGTTATGCTGGCGAAACCAAGGGCACACTTGATGCTTGACACAGAAATAATCCTAATCTAAAGGTAAAATGCTAAGTAGATACTATATCTAATATATGCATTGAGAATTATATTTGGTTTCTGAAAAATATGGGATAATATAAAAGGGTTCCAAGAAATTTGAAATAAAAAATAAAAAAATTAAAATATTAAGTTTTGAAAGCCAGTCATATTAATGACATTTTTTTGAAATCTAAAATAAACCTGTTTGTTTTACACTTCATTTTTCTATTGTCAAGTATGGACAAGCTGTCAGTGAGATTGGTTTATGCCTAACGTGCAACTGTGAGGGAGAAGCAGGACAAGGGTGGCCTTGGTGTGCTTTGTCCAGTGCTAGGTGCCTTCAGGATTCCTGGAGCCTCTGCCTCATTCTTCCCTCCTACCTGTTGATACTTTTCACACTTCTGTTGAGTCTGATATTCCTCTTGTTTCTGCATTTCGGTCATTTTCACCTCCTGGAGGCTTCTGTCATGCTCCTGTTTTAGCTGCAGCTCTTCTTGCTTTTCCTGGGGTAATATGACAGAGACAAATCAGGCCATATCCCTTACACAGGAACCCTCCCTCACCTGAGATTGGCCTGGATCGCTACCAGGCTCAGTGAACTTCTCATTAGAAGGATTGATTAGCCAGTAACTCCAAACCCAACTCTACCATCGTTTGAGCTAGATTCCCTCCTTAACCCTCAGAGTCCTCATACATCAGAAATAGCTGGGACTAAGCAATCCTCACAAAGTGGATGAATCAAGAACTCTAGGCCAGCTCAGGACTCTACCTTAGATTTCAAGCTGTTCTGAGCAAGCCACCCCCTCCCCAAGCAGGCCCAGCTCACAAACACACCTTTTCTTTAGTGTTAGTCACATCCCTATAGTGGTAAAGCCAATGAGCCAAGTATTCTATTGGGTCACTAGGGCGCACTCTTGCCACCTCTGCCAGTGCCTGGGTCAGGCTGTTTCCAAAGCTCTTCTTCAGGTAGGCAGTTTCCATACCGGGGACCTGGGAAACATCAAATCAGATACTCTATGTTACAAATGTGATCTAACTTTTTAAATTGACCCAATCGAGCTCGAGAGTTGGCTCAGAGGTTAAGAACACTGTCTGCTCTTCCACGGGTACTGAGTTCAGTTCCCAGCAACCACGTGGAGGCTCACAAGCATCTATAGTGAGATCTGGTGCCCTCTTCTGGAGTGCAGGGATACATGTAGTCAGAACACTATACATAATAAATAAAAAAAAATCTTTAAAAAATGGATCCATGATGGAGGAAGGTCATTGGTTAAATAAACTGCCTTGGCACTAGGTAAGAACATAGGTGGGTGGAATAAACAGAACAGAATGCTGGGAGGAAGAGGAAGTGAGCTCAGAGAGTCCATGCTCCCCTCTCCCTGGCAGACGCGATCGATGAAGCTCCGACCCAGGATGGACGTAGGCTAGAATCTTCCCAGTAAGCGCACCTTGGGGTGCTACACTCCTTATTAGAAATGAGCTAGTCCAGGTGCCAGAGTTAGCCGAGAAAAGGCTAGATATAATGGGCCAAGTGGTGTTTAAAAGAATATAGTTTCCGTGTAATTATTTTGGGGCATAAGCTAGAGCTAGCCATGTGGGCGGCCGGGTGCTGGGGATGCAGCCCCGCTGCTCTTATTACAACAGAATGGCGTCCAACTCTTTGCATACCTGGTTGTCAGCAGTCTACACAGCCTCTCTCTGGGGCTAGCTCTGCTGTGCACATTTCTGGCATCTCTAACTTCCTGGCCCTCCCTTGGGGCTTTGGGTTTACTACACAGCTTCAGATTCTGTCCACACAGCAGCTGCCTGCAGGGATTCTGTCACACACTGCCTGATCTTCCAGGACTTCCTTTGGGATTTAAGTGGAAGCCTTCATGATGCCATCGTTCATCTGTTCTGTGTGCCTGAAAGAACAGCAGGGCATGGCCAATGATAAAATCTGTCACTAGCATGAGCAGTAGTTGGGCCCACTTGGACCATAGATGCAGAAGTTTCTGAATGTCTGGATGGCTAAATACAGGGATAGGAGAAGCCCAGGGAAAGCAATTACCTGGGTATCTCTGAGCTCCTAGAATCCTCTAGGTTCTCTTGTCAATCAGGTCTTAAATATGTTATGGATAGGAACTTGTTGGCTCTTGAGATGCCCTTCAGGAATCTGTTCAACTATGCCGATGTGAGGTACCCAATTATGTCTTCTCTTCCTTTGATGTGTATGTGGGAGGGGGTACAGTTGAGACAGGGTCTGTGTAGACAAGGCCTAAAACACTTAGAGATCTACCTGCCTCAGCCTCTTGAGTGCTAGGATTAAAGACAAGCCTCATTGCATCCATGATGTAACTATCCTTGGCAATTATGTCCTTGAATGTGATCACAGAGATACTCCTCAAATTGCAAGTTTTTCAAATCCTTCTACTCTGCTCTTTATTCCCACATCTCATGTTAAATCTGGTGAAAAGCAGCCAGCAATGCTTAGCCTGAATACTGTACTGTCCAGCAATGTCTCCCGCCAGGTTATTCTTACCTTTAATTTAGTCTCACGGAAAATCTCAGGGCATGGACCAACCACGGACAACAGTTTGCCAGAATACAGCACAAAGGGCCTCTTGTTAGCTTTCAATAGCTTTCATCTCTCTCTGAATCGGCATGAGTCTCTCCTAACATTCCACATATGTCCTATGCTTCATATCCTTATTGTCAGGTCCAGAGGAAAGAAACTCCACTTCCCCAAAGGCAGAAGAGACAAATGGCTATCTGTGGGGTCTGTTAATGTACCGAAGTGCATGCTGGCCTTCAGGATTCCTCAGTATCCCAGGGGTCTACTGCACATTTCAAAGTTCACGCTAGCGTCCTAGCTCTTCTCACCTCTTGCCCTACACTGAATTCCCCTAGCTCACTGGCTTCCCTCCCCCAAGTATTCATTCTTCTTGTAGCCCCGCTGTTTTGTCTACGTGTTCTGTCTCCCTCCCCCCTTCTCTGTCTCTCCCCCACCCCATCTCTGTCCCTCTGTCTCTATGTTCCTGCTTCTCTCATGGTCAGGTCCAGTCCACTGGCCATTCTCTCTCTGCTCTGGCTACTCTCTCTCTCCCATCTAAAAGAAATCTTCCTCTTAACCGTTCCATCAAGTGGTCATATTGTCAGTTTACATCCTTCTCGGTACTCTGGTCTTTGAGCTCTTGCCAGAACTGCCAGTCAAGTTCTGCATAAAGCAGTGTAGGCCTATTTCTCCAAAATTTTCAAAATTCCTTCCACAAATCCCGGAGATTTCTGAAGCACATCTTCAAGTAATCAAACCAAGGAGCCTGATTTTGTGGTACCAATTTTCATATTAGTAAACTCTGTTGCTAGAGCAAAATGCCTGAAGTAGTCAACTAAAAGAGGCAGGGTTTATTTTAGCCTATGACTTTGATGTTTCAAGTCAGTCACTTGGCTTCATTGGTTTTGGGACTCTGGAAAGGCAGAGAGAGAACTTCAGGGTAGGGAGCAACACATAAGAACAAAGCTGCTTGTCTTATGGAAGTAAGGAGAGAGGGAGGAAGGGGTGGGTCAGTATTCCAGAGTTCCCTTCAAGGGTATGCCTCGGATGATGCACCTTCATCCTATAGGCCCTACTCATTAATGATTCCTTCAGCCTCCAACAGTGCTACATGTATAAAGTGACCACATGACTTCTCCATGGTATGATTAAGGGGAAGGCTTTTATTGGAGATATGAACGTCTGAACAGACAGAGCTGGAAGAGCGGGAAGGGGGTAGGGGAGTGAGGGTTGGGGGCAAAGAATAAAGTAGAACATGACCAGCAAACTTGACGTGACTAGGAGAAAGAGAAGCAGGAACAGAGCAGGGGAAGGGGTATGGGGGGGGGGACAGAGAGCATATCAAAAATAGAAGGATTATAAGAAGAACGTAAAGCTGGGTGGAGGGAAGCCCATGAGTTGGAGGGAAGTCTAGGGTTGTGAAAGAGGTGAGAAGAGCTACTTTGGAACAGGTACCTGTGATACAGACAGGGATGGAGCAGGGAGAAGGCAGCTCCCACTTTATGCCAATAGGCAGTACAGGTAGCTTCCCCCAATGATATTGGAAATGTAGAGGGGAACCAGCTTCAAAAGTTCCTGAGGAATGCTGGCTTTAAATAAAAGCCATCAGAAGTCCTCCAATGGTCCAAGTTGAGCCCATTTCTGAATATTTGGACTGCCTTTTGGAGTTTGGGGGAATTGCAAGCCTTTAGCTTGTGGCTTTTGGGGGCGGTCATTTAAGATCCAATCATAACGCTACCTTTCTGAGAAGAATCAACAAAATCACACTTGCCAATAGCTGTTACAGTCACGTGGGCTTCTTTCCTAAGGCCTTCCAGTTGGAATATGTCAGACCATGAGTCCAGGTGGTTATCAGTCTTGAGAAGGCTTGGCCCTTGATTAGTGAAGGGGTGGGGTGAAGGTTTTTAACTAACCCATATATATTTGCCCCAAAGTGCAGAGAAACTTTGGATAAAAGCAAGCTGTGCTATTGTGAGGTTGGAAGCTAGTCTATGACATAGACAGCAGAGGCTCATCTACTTTACAGGGCGCGAGAAGGAAGAAAGCGATGGGCCCTTCAAGCCACAGCTGACACACTCTCCCACAGCATCACTTTCAGCGGAGATGATGCTCGAGATTTCCTAATAGGTGTCAAGAGTGGAAGGTAAGGCAGCCAGAGACCGAATGCTGCATTAGGAGCAACGGGGAACCAAAGCAGAGCCACAGCAGCGTAAAATACCTGTACCAGGCCTGGTGTCGCCACTTGCAGCTGTGCGATCTTCAGCAAGTTGCTTGTTGTCAGGGTCTTGGTGTGCTTTGGAAAACAGAAACAGAATACATCCCTCATAATATTGAAAGGACACATTGAGCTATTAACCACATGAAAGGCTCCTAGCCTGGCACACAGCAAGAATTTAATAAACACGAGTTATTATGGAATAAGACTGTCAGTACAGCCTTAGCACCCAGTCTCCATATCCCCATTTTTTTCTTTTAGCTTAAGTATGGATACATAGACATGTTGGTATAGAAAACATTTATGTTTTCTACCCCTCACTACTATCATAGTCTGGGAAACCCAAACATTCTAGAGGCAGTGAGCCTCTGAGCATTTGATCCAACTATCTCTTTCTCCTTTAAAAAATGAGACAGTCTCACTATGCATAGGTTAGCCTGCAGCTCCCTGAGTAGTCCAGGGTGGCCTTGACTTGTCCTTTTTCTGACTAACCTTTCCCAGTGACGGATGCGAGGTGTGCTCTGCCATATCCAGCTTCAAAGGGAAAGAAATATTGTTCATTACTTCAGGGACCAGAGATCTTTAGAGAAGAGGTTGGTGCCAGAGTTGGGGCAAAGAAAGTCTAACCAGTCAGAGGCAATTATTACACCAGAAAGTAAGAAAACTCTTATCAAATTAAATGTTTGTGGGCATGGGAGCCATCTGGAAGACTTATTCCAGTACTATATTCTTGCTCCTAACAGTGCCCAAAGTCTCAAATCTGGAACCCGTGAATCTGGAACCCGTGAATGTTACCTAGTATGATAATGTTATTCTCAGATCATGGAGTCTCCTAAAAACCCACTAGGAGACTGAATCCTGTATGTAAAAGCAAAGAGTCTTTGTTCTTATTCAAGGTGGAACTCAGACTCTCTGTCCAATGTATTGGTGTGATTGGAGAGCCCTGAACTCAGTTACGCTGTTTTTTTTTTTTTTTTAATAATAATAGCAGGGGTTGGGGTGAGGGATTTCTAAGGTTCAGGATCCCTTACTGGCTGGCATTTGTCTAGGGGTGTCCTGGTGAAAAGCTATCGGTTCATGCTGGCAGGTGATCCTATCTACAATGGTTGGATCATTAGGAGTTTCTTTTGGATGATCTGTTCCTGGGTGATGCCTGGGTGGTCTCAGTTTATGTTCTTTCTTGGAACCAGTATTGCCTTAGGGTAAACTACTGAGCTTTGGGCCTCTGCTGAGCTTGCCATAGCTGGGTCCTCTAAGTAACAGGAGCTTTGCAGTAGTGATTAGGGATCTTGAGATAGTGCATTAGACAAGCTGTCCAACTTAGTTACTTTTCTATTGATATGAAGAGACACCATGACCAAGACAACTCATAAAAGAAAGCATTTAATTTAGGGGCTTTATAGTTTCAGAGGGTGACCATTATGGGGGTGGGGAGAGTGGTAGCCTGCAGGAAAGCTTGGTACTGGAGCAGTAGCTAAGAGCTTACTTCTTACCTGCAAGTTGGAGGGGTGTGTGTGTGTGTAGGGTTAAGACAGCCCCTTTAGGGGGCGGGGAGGCGGCTCGCCCCTTTTTTTTCTCCCCACTCCTGTACTATGCTGGAACTCTGGTTCTGTAAGTTTATCATTAAATTGGTAAATATTCTTTGATATCTGCATTGCATTTATTTTACGCGGATACATGTGTGTGTGTGTGTGTGTGTGTGTGTGTGTGTGTGTGAGAGAGAGAGAGAGAGAGAGAGAGAGACAGACAGAGACAGACAGAGAGACAGATTGGGCCTGCTGTAGGCTTTTGAAGCCTCAAAGGCCACCTCCAGTGACACCTCCTCCAACAATGCCAGACTTTCAAAACAGTTGCATCAACTAGGGACCAAGCATTCAAAGATATGAGCCTATGGCAACCATGCTCACTGAAACCACCACATAGGCACAGCTGTAATTGCTAGGGTCATTAGTAAGGCCAGACATGACAGATGGCCCAGTGACAAGTCAGAGGAAAGAAACAACATAAGATTCAAGATCATGGGCCAATGTCAGCTTCTAGAATCCCGAAGACAAGGAAATGGAACAGCCCTCTATACAAATGTGTTTAAAGCCACTAAGTTTGGGGTAGGTGCAGAGGCTGGGAGATGGGAGCAGGTCATCTTCTCTTTGTGCCCGTGCTGATGAACAATCTTCCAACCTGGCTGCTCTGTGATCTGATGACAAAATGTTGATGGGCTTGTTGAAATGCAACTCCCATCATCTCAGATTCAAGATATATGTATATATGTAAAATCTCCAATGCGATCCCTGGCCACTGATGTAGCCCCTCTGTCATTGGAGACTCCTGGCACAGAATCACCAGCTGCATTCCCGGGACACCTCCATTCCTGGGTCATTGAGTGACTGACACACTGCTTAAAAGTGACAAGCCCTATCTATGAAGATGCTATCCCTGATACTTGGCACACACTAAGTACTAAGTAAATATGTCTGAGGGCTCTGTTGCTGGGCCAAAGGAAGGGCTCATACTTTGTTGAGCCTCTGTCAATGAGCAGTGCCATGATCACAGAAATTAGAAGATAACATGGAGAATCCTGCCCCCACCCAATGTGGTACACACACCATCAGGCCTGTGTTCTAGTCTGCTTTTTGTTGCTTTGATAAACACCATGACCAAAAGAAAATTGGGGGGAGAGTGGGGTAGCCTTGGGGGTGTTATTCAGTGTAAAGGTGATAGTCAGACCACTATCAAGGGAAGCCAAGGGAGAAACTTAATGCAAGAACATGAAGCAGAAACCACGAAGGGAATGCTGCTTACTGGTTTACTTCCCCTGGCTCACTCAACTACCTTTCCTTCTCTCTCTATCTCTCTCTCTCTCTCTCTCCCTCCCTCCCTCCCTCCCTCCCTCCCTCCCTCCCTTCTTTCTTTCTTTCTTTCTTTCTTTCTTTCTTTCTTTCTTTTTGGTTTTTCAAGACAGGGATTCTCTCTAGCTTGGGTGCCTGTCCTGGAACTAGCTCTTGTAGACCAGGCTGGCCTGGTACTCGCAGAGATCCGCCTGCCTTGCCTCCCGAGTACTGGGATTAAAGGCGTGCCCACCTCCCAGCTTCCCAAGCCCACCCAGGGATAGGCGCCACCTATAGTGGTCCTCCGACATAAATTAGCAATCGAGAAAATGCCTCACAGATGTGCCCACAGATCAATCTGATGGAAGCAAGTCTTTATTTGAGAGTGCCTCTTCCCAGGTACGTCTAGGTTTGTGTCACACTGACAAAAGCTAGCAGAGTAACGGGTGAAAGCATAAGAGTGGAGGGTGTCTCTGGGTATCCTGGAGCTGCCTGTGCTTGAGTTGGCTCTGAAAGGAATCTTAAAACTTCCAAGTCACCTAGGAACTGTCCCCCAGCGATCAAAGGTGCCTCCTCTGACTTTCAAAGACCCGTTGATTCTCAGGGATCCTATCTAAGGATCCTTGGCCCTAAAGTCTCTGTCTCTGGGTTCCATCGCTCTGTCCTGACGCTACTTCTTGGTGCTTTCCTAGGAAAACCTGGTTCTCTCATTTGCACGTCCCTTCTCCCTGGCGCACGTTTCCAGTCCCTTCGTGAGCACCCCCCCACCACACACAGACATCGTCCCCTGCAGGCATTCCCATACAATTTCCCTTTGCCCCCACTGCCTCAGTCTGGATGGAACCTTAGCTCTACCCACAACCGTACACTCGTTGCCAGGCAACGGGACGCGACTCACTCGCCAGCGGCAGGGACCAGCGTCAGTTGCACTCACCAAGGAGGCTGGAGCGGTTCCCTTAGAACCGATCCTCTAGTGTCTCTGCTGAAGCAATTCTGAAAATTATACTTTGCGCGAGTCTCGGGGATCTCACCCGGGGGCTGAGGGCAGGTTAGCTCTCTGGAAGGAGCCGGTGGGCCTGGGTGACTGTCCTTCCACTTTGCTGGCTCCTCCTCCTTTTTTCCTCCTCCCACTTTTCTGCCCTCTAGTCAAACAACACAAAAGGAAAACTAAGGTAAGTATCTAGGTTAGGGCTGCCTGATTGAATTTTATTTACAGGTAAACTGGTTATGTTCTAGCCCAAATATAGTGTAAGATAATTATTCGTCGTGTTTCTCTGAAACTCAAATTGAACTGAGTCTGCTGTAGTTTTTTTTTAAGTGTTGAATCCAGCGCTGATATCCAGGTCCCCTTTCTCTCGCGCCCTGGCAGAGTAACTCCTTCCGTGGCTCACAGTAGCTACTCCAGGCTGGAGGCAGTTATTTCTGTGAGAAGGGCTTTCTTCTGTGGAGCTGGATGCGCACTGCTGTTTGTTGGGAAGCAACATTTCTTAGGGTAGAAGTGACGGCTATTATTTTCTCACATAGACAGGAAGTAGGTGTTACAGAGATGACACAGGGACCACATGCAAGCCCCACTAAGCAGCTGCCAGAAAGTCCCAGATAGACCCTGGGCAACTCCTTAATTAGTTTCCCCCTTGATGACCATTTTCGGGTTCCCAGGTTCCATGTTTCTGGAGGTATCCCATGTTTTATGTAACTAAATTTCAAATGGCATTGAGATGTTCATGTGGTGGTTTTATCTCTGGAGGATTTCCCACTGAAGAAGCACAATGGAGTCTAGTCAGTTGCCATAATCCTTTTCTCTATGTGGTTAGGACACGAAGGCAAGTTGGTCGATCAGCTCGTCAGTTCTTATGGCTACACTTACGCACACATACATTCCTTTGGTGGCAGAAGCAGTTTCTGTGCCACCCTGCATTGTGAGTCACTAGGGAGCCACTCTAAGTTTTAGAGAGCTTTTCCATTCTCACACATCATTACAAGATCCCACAGTATTGTACCTAATTGACCCTCTTCTTGGACATTCAAGTGGTACTCCAGTCTGACTACCGTAATGAGGGTGCAAACGCTATGTTCACATGTTTCAGTCTTGAGACTGCACCTTTGACATGGGATTCAAGAACTGCAATGGTGAACATACTGTGATATTTCTAGATGTGACCAAATCACCCTCACCAATGTCAGTTTTACTCTCCCATCACTATTGCAGGCCAGGTGGTGTCTACAAGAGGCAAAAATGCCTTTGCCCAGAGGCAAGTCTTGACACACTGGCACCCGGCACCCTGTCTCCTCTGGCTGCTAGAGTTCTTGCTTCTCTCTCTCTCTCTCTCTCTCTCTCTCTCTCTCTCTCTCTCTCTCCCCCTTGTGAATGTTATTGTTTCATTAGCAAACTTGAGCTTAGCTCAAATATCAACTTATCACAGAAAGTTTTCTTGGCTTTCCTGGCTTGTCTGGAAAAGGAGTCCCTTTTGTCTGCTCTAAAGAAAACATATTTCAGTTTTGATCTTGTATTTACTGATTCATTATTAAAATTCATCTCCTCAACTCATCTCCATGCCATATGAGGTCGGAGATAGCCTTTAGGTCCAAATGCAGACACCTAACATATGTTTAATGAAGCAATATCAGTAGCCTGCCCACTGTGACATATATTCTCACCTCAGCTTCTGCGAACAACCCCAATAAACTCACCGGGTCACAGGTCTGAGCTTAGGTAGACTCATTTGGTCTGTTGTTGTCTATCTGCTTGTCCTTCCAGAGTAAATAGAAACAGTTAATCCAGGGGAAGCCATGCAGCAGGCTTCATATCTGAAGACTGGGGATCAGCTGGAAGGGGGCCCAAACTTGCTCACTTGCCACCATGGAGAGATAGTGGTGTTAGCCCTGTGACCAAAATACTCCTTGGGAACTTAGAGGAGCTTAGGATGCTCTCGTTCATTCTCTTTTCCAGGTACAAGAAGTAGGTACAAACCCTGTTTTCATCTGCCAGCCCAGCCATCTGGGTTGTTTACGTAAGTTCTTTGAGTCTGGCTCCCTATCTGCCCATTTCCTGGGATGCTGTGGATGTTAACTGGCACCAGCATAACTTGGCACAATGTGATGGACAATGCTAGTGTCTAGTTCTGACTCTGGGACTAAATGAGAACCTTCAGGATGGAGAAGCTATTTTAGCTAGGACTTTGACAGCGTCCTTTTGTAGACCATTTGAAGTTTTCTGGGGCCAGCTTGCTTATGTCATCCTTAATGAGAAGTACCCATGACCATTGACAGGGTGGAATATTCAGGTAGCCTCCTTTGACTTTACTCTTTGTTTACTTTGGGACTGGGTTTTCTCTGTGTATTTCTGTGTATCTTGGAACTCACCTTGTAGCCCAGGCTGGCATTAAACTCAGAGGTCTGCCTGCCTCCAGAGTCCAGGGATTATAGGCAAGTGCTACCACTGCTTAGCTTGACTTTACTCTTATCTATGCCTACTCAGAACACCGTTTGGCTCTAATCAAAACTTTTGTAGACGGTTTTGTTTAGGAGTTAGAAATGGAGTCAACATATCTTCAGCAGTGCCTGGGGACATGCCTAACTCAAGGTCTCGCAGAAGTGGCAAGAGTTCGCCCAATGGATCCAATCGAATATTTAGCCTTGTGGATTTCTAAGTACAAGGACATTGTGACCTTGGAGCAGCAGGTAAATATGGGTCTCCTTTGAGGGAATTAGAAGAGCACGATAATTAGTCCATATTGTCTATATTTTTATGTTCAATCTTGCTTTCCTATTACAAAAATGTTTATTATCTAAAAGCTTTGGACAATATGTGAACGAATGTAGAGGGGAAGAAAACAGAAAGAAGGCTTCTGTTTTGATTTTAAATATTTTCAACTCAATATTGGCTTTTTCTGACATGTTTGCTGTAGCTTGGTTTTCTTTTTCTACTTTTACTTTTTCTTTATATTCAACATACAATATCAATTGCACATTCTTTGTTTGGCTAAGGCATAAAACTCCCCCAAATTGTTGCATAGTTTCCAAATGAATAGAGCATGGCTTTCTTGACCCTTCTTCTGAAGCTGGTGGTAGGGAGGCTTCTAACATTGCATTGACTGATTGGTCTCTAATAAGCTGTGTGCTGTTGCTTTTTCACCAATCGCTAGAGACAGAAAGATATGATTGATTTGGAGCGCGAGAGACAATTAGCACGGATGGAGCAGGAAATGATGGAGCGACTCAAAGCAGAGGAACTCTTGTTTCAGCAGGTGAGATAGGCGCTCCAAGGTGACGGAAGTTAACAGCGGCACCCTTGGTGTGGTCAACCCGCATCCTGAAATACTCCCTGACTCTGCTCACTTAGACATTGCTCCCTAGTACCCCCATCCTTGTTTGGTGAAGAGGAAATACCATGAGGTAAAAAGGCCACCCAGATACTGTGTTGTTGTGGAAGCCAAGAGGGCAACAGTCAACAGTAGCACTGCTTGTCGGTGGTCATTCAATGCTTAGACAATCTCTCCAGGATCAGTGGTGAGAGTGCTGTAGTGGGTAGGAAGGGGGATGGTGAGTGAGATATTGCTTTCATGGAGTGTGTGAGGGGAAAGGCAATGGGTTTTATTTTGATTTAGGACCACATGGAACACAAGGAGTGGTGTTAGAAAAAATAGAAAAAAATGATATGAAACCTTTTATCCACAGTATTAAGAGGAAATGGGTCTGGAAAACAAGTGGATGAGCCCTCCTTTGATTGGAGTTCAGAGATGAAGCATAGATGGCCTCGGTATAGGTGGGTGCATTGGCTTGTGACATGAAGTGGAAAGCTGACTGTTTCCATCTTCTTTATGAAGTAAGAATCAACAGTGGCCACACACTTAAAAATCAAGGGATGATGTAGGAGGGATGGAAAGAATGATGAAGGTTTGAAATAATAACCCTAGGAAGATGGAACGGTGGATTGATCAAGCTTTATGTGTTGAACATCTCTAAAAAAAATCCAAAAATGTTTCTATATATGAAACTTTTGCATGCTTTTGTGGTGTCAAGGAGTGGAAAATTCCACACTGTTAAGCTTGGCTTCCCATAAAAAGTACTAAAATATGGCATATCATTACTTTGTGTTAGAAGGTAAAATATAGCTGAATTTCATGTTTAGTCTTGGGCACCATACCTGAGGCATCTTATTACAGATTCATAAATATCTCAAAAATATGAGCTCTGAACCACTTCCAGTCCTAAATCACCTGTATAGTATAGCATTTGGGACCAAGTATGCATAATAGTGCTGTCTGCTTGGACCCTCCCTTCTCTACAGAAGCAGGAATTGTCTGTCAGCTGCTCTCCTTCCCTGAGACCATGTGTTCACTCTGGAATTCTACTTCACTTTCTTTGACACATCTCCTTCACCCTACTGGAAGAAAACTTAGTGACATTAGAAACTCAACATTTCCCTAACATGTTAGCCAGCAAAGCTAATCTGCCTTGTGTTGAACCCAAAGCATTCCATTTGCAGGGGCTGTGAAATGTCGGATAACATTCTGCAGGAGATGCTATGGCTAATTAAAGAAGTGAATTGGTGGGCAGACATAGATGGGAGAAAGAGAGTGGAACCAACAGAAAGGAAAGGGCATAACAGGGAGTGGATTGTGAGGAGAAATAGCAGAGCGTTCTCTCTTGCTCCCTGAAGTGTTTGAGTTTGGAGGCTGAGGAGTCATTTCCAACTCAACACTGATGGCTTCAGTGAGTAACTTGTGGGCACCTTGGGAACATCATATCCTAAACAAAAGCCAGAAAAAAACTGGACATGGTGATACATGCCTCTAATCCCCACACTGGGAAAGCAGAGGCCAGCCTGGGATACATAGTGAAACACTGTCAAAAAATAAAAGAAAGCAAACAAACAAAAATCACCAAATTTGAGAGAAAATACTCAAGGGCAGTTGACTTGATTTTAGTTGACAACTGCTATTGCTCCCAGTGTCAACAAATTGACCAGTGAATGAAAGAAAAAAGAGAAAGAAAAAAAGGAGGCCTTGAATAGGCCTAGGTATGGTTAAGGAGAGCATAGCCAGAGGCAAGGATATCAGTGAGAGTCCAGAGTGAATGTGAACCTGATCAGGCCATAGGAGCAGAGGGAGGAGGGAAGAGCCAGGTGGGTAGAGAGTAGACAAAAAAGGTCTTGGTAACCAAAATGTCTGGACTATATAGGGAAGGCAGCTGAGGGAAGGGCACCCCAGTCCCTGTGCTGGAAAAGTTTAGTATAGGAGGTGGGGTGTGCTAGCCATACCCTGTGACAGGGATGAACTGAGGGATGCTGGGAGAAGTGGGCAGCCATGTCTACTTTGATATGTTAGCCATTTGTCTCGAGTTGGAGACCTAATATCAAGCTTTCTCACTAAAGCCCAACAATCTAAAAAAAAAGCAAAAAAACTAAGTTTGTAGGAGGACACATTTCTTTGAGCATGTAGATCAACACTGTTCAAATTAACTCATGCTGGCAAATGTCATTCCTTGCTTTGAGAACAAACAAATTATTTAGATAACAGTTTTTGCAAGCTTGTTTTAATATCTGTGAGGAAATTGCAAAATGATAAAAGGAATCAATCTTAAATATTCTATTTTTGACCTTTGCTTTCTTTTCTGAATTAAAATATTATTGTGAGAGTGCATGCCTGTGTGGTTTTCACAGGGATGGGGAGCAGAGCATGTGCACACATGGCCCATGATGTGTGGAGGTCAGAGGGCAACTTTGTGGGGTTGGTTCTCTTCTTCCCCTTTTACATGGGTAATGGGGACTGAACTCAGTTGTTAAGGCTCACTGGCAGTGCTTTTACCCACTTAGCTGTCTGATGACCCTTGACCTTTGCTTTCAATGTGAGTTAAGATTATGGGGATGTGTGCATCATCTGTGAACGATGCTTGTTGCCTTCTTTTAGTGTGGTGTCATAGCCATTATATACAACAAATCGAATGGTATTTTGTTATTGAGGTAAGAAAGCATTTCATGCCCCATTGTGTCTCTAAAGTGTGTCTATCAGCATCTGTGTCGTCTTCTTTTCTTATTGTTTGTTTCTTTGTGACAAAGTCTTATTATATTAGCCCAAATCAGCCTCCAACTTCAGGTCCTCCAGTCTTAAGTTCTTAAAAGTTGGGGTTACAAGTGTGTCACTGCATCCAGCTCCTTTGTGTGATGATATCAGTGTTTTGAATGCCACAGCATAGCTTTATCACGACACTCCAGATACTATAGTTGGGCAGTGTTGTTTGATCCTTAGTGCCACAATGGTGCCACTTTTCTCTTTTGTTGCCAGTGAAAAGCAGCCTTGGATGATTCACAATTGGACGAGCCGCATTTCAACCAAACTGTATTTCCAGATACTGGAGCTTGGATGCTATATCACTTTCCTATATCATTATTCTTTTGATTTTATTTTCCGTCAACATTGCAGAATGCGCATGGAACTCTTGGCTTCTGAGCTGCACCCAAACAGGAGCTGTGTCCCATTTGGTCCACAGGCTTTGCTGCTGCTGTCTGTCCTAGTGTGACACGCGTGCTGCATTAGGACCAAGTACACGGTTAACTGAGGGTTGGGAGACTGTCTGAGCCATGGACCAGCTAGGCCTTTAGGCTGTCCACCTGGTAGGCATAGAGTCCGAATCCATGTTGGGTGCCAGATGAAGATGGACGCTTAAAAGAAATCCCACGTTAGCTCAGAATTGAGAATAATAGACAGTTATTTGTTTAGGGGGTAGACTCACAAATTAGAATCCTCTGCTGGAACGGAGAACACTAACCGAATCAGGCAGCCAGAAAAGAGGCAGATGCATGCTTTACATCACCATAAATAGTATAACAGACCACACCCCAGTGGGCAGTTAACTTAAAGGCTATTGGCTGTTTGATTTCCTACAGCAGTTAATCAGCTGTGTTTACAGAGGCACACTTTCACGGGCATAGACTGTTGTCTCTTACTGCTTTGCATTCAAGATTTGGTTCTCTCCCAGCCCCCAAATCTCACTCACCTCAGGAAAACCACATTAGTCTTATTTGTAATTTTAAGAACAAAAGGGACATACCTCGGTTCTGTATACAACACCTCCTACCTTTGATAATTAAAGAAATGTCTTTTTTATGCTTAAAAAAATCAATCATTGTAGAAGCTGAGTATTATTTGAATATAATAATTTTCCTAATTTCCTGAAATTTAGTTGAGGACTTAAAAGTGACACATAAGCAGGAGTGGTAGCTCCAGTAACGTCAGCACTGAAGAGGTGGAGGCAAGAGGACCGTTATGAGTTAGAATCCAGTCTGGGCTACCTAGGTGAGACCCGTCCAAACAAACAAACAAACAAACACGAGTGGTAGAGCTGATGTCTAGCTATTGTTCTGTTATATCTGCCATACGATTTAAACACCTGTGACCATTCAGCAGCAGCTGGCATTCCAACTGGAGCTGGAAATGCAAGAAAAAGAGAAACAGAAGAAGGAAGAACTCCAGCAAGCTGAAGCGTTAAATAAGGTAATGTGAAGTTTGGTAAGTGTCTGCTCCTTAGAAGCCTCTAGACTCTTCGGGCTGTTTCTTCCAGCCATACCAAACACCTGTTCCCCATCACACGTGGGACTTCAAGCCTCAGCCTTTCTGTCTGCTCTCCTGATTCACAACAGCGGCCGCAGCTCAGTGCCACAGGCAGCAAGCAAGGAGTTTAAGTAGTCACGTGTGTGCCTTCGCCAGCCACAGGGGCCTCCAGAGGGGCACTGTCGATGGCTTTGTCAGGCGACAGCTGTTAATTATGTTAGCTGATCGGAAGTTATTATGTTGCTCTTCTTCATGTTAGATATACCAAGAAAGTCATTTACATTTTTAAAATCTGTTCTTATGTTGATTCTTATGTCTCTCATGAAAACAAACAGTGCAGTGACTTAGTTAAAAAAAAGTCCATTTTCAGTGGTAATACATACATAAAGTCAAATCTCTAGTTTGTCCATTAATTGCTGATCTACTGAAAAACGTGTGCCATACAGGCCTGACTTCTGAGTGACTACACAAATGGCTATTGTCTTCCCTACCAAACTACAGCTCCCTATATTGAACCCGCAATTAAAACTGAAATCAGAAGCAAATTTTATCAAATATATGTGATATATTTATTAATGGATTAAATGAGGAAAAAATAATCATTTGAAATGTTTCTTTTTTTCCTTCCTTCACTCCGTCCTTTCTCTCTCTCTCTCTCTCTCTCTCTCTCTCTCTATCTCTATCTCTTTTTTTCTTTCTTTTTTCCAAGACAAGGTTTCTTTGTGTAGTGCTAACTGTCCTGGAACTCATTATGCATACCAGGCTGGCTTAGAACCCCGAGCTCCACTTGCCACTGTCTCCTGATTGCTGGGTTTAAACATAATTTCTTTAAAAACCTATAAGGTGGTGAATTGAAAAAAAATCATGAGATATTGGAGGATAAATTCAAGTATCTGTGCATAGTTTTAATATCCAGATACTGGTGATGGCTTGTACAAGGAGCATTTTTGGAGTGATGTACATAAGCTCACACACGTATTAACACAGAAGAGGGTCATACCCATGTCTCCAGACAGCAAGCCTCTGTGACCAGTCAACACAACTTTAACACGTTCATGTCCACATTGGCCTAGTGTCGCTCATCTCCACCCTGGGAAATATCCCTGTCTCACTCACCACTCAAACTCCATTGATCTACAGATGCGCCATGTAAATTGTCATTCTCAGAGATATTTGAAGAATCCTGAGTTGAACAGGGGTTGGACTCTGGGGTGTTTGCCTCAGACCCTTGGGGGCAAGAGAGTCAGGAGTTAGCAGGAATGTCTTCCCTTTTGCTGACTGGCACTGATTTCACCTCCTTCCTCGTGCTTTTGTTTGTGGCAAAGGATGAGGAACTTGGGTCTGATTGTTGTACTTTCAAACATCGAGGAGGAACAGATTTATTTTCTGGTTTTAGTTAAAAGAACTAGGGGAAAGATTAGTGTCGAATATTCATCTTTATGGTTTAGGGTAGTGGTCCTGTAAGAATATAAACTGCTTGGGGCTCCTGTGTGGATTCAGGATAAGAACTTTCTAGAAAATCCAGTATAGCAGTGCACACCTTTGATCTCACCATTCTCATGGCAGAGGCAGGAGTATCTCTGTGTTCAAAGCTAACTTGGTCCTCAGAGCAAATTTCAGGATAGCCAGGACTACGTGGAGAAACCCTGTCTCAAACAGCAAAAAATAAACATAAGAATTTCCTAAAAAAAAAAAAAATCATCTTTGTAAAATAGTACCGCAGATACCCCTATAATTAGGGCGGCCATATGTGCAGTCACAAGATGAGTAATCTTCCAACTGCCAAAATGGCTCATTAGAGTATGAGTCATGTGACTTTGCTACAAATGATGGAGGCCGTAGGAGGTTGGCTTGGTTAGAAGAACCTTCTCATTTAGTAGTGGCCTCTCGTGCTGGGCCCAACATTTACCCTGCAGCATGTGAGTGTCGTTAAGGACCCATGGAGACCCTTTGGGCTTTGAGAGTAACTTGCACATGGTGAATTCAGTTAGGAATATGTCCTCCTGTCTTCTCGTCTATAAAGCCTGACTTCAAACTCTCTTTAAAAATCTCTTATTATGAAACGTTACTTTCACATTGTTGCTTTTCATAGTTGCTAGAACTTTTGCTTCAGTTTTAATGTTTCATTCAGCCTGTTTCTAAAATTCATATTTTTATTAAGTCTTAGAAAATTTTATACAATGTATCTTTTTATGCATTTTCCTTTTATTTTTGAGAACATGATGTAATTATACCATTTCTCTATTTCCTTTCCTCCCACTGAGCCCTCCCATATACCTCTTCTTACTCTCTTTCAAATTCATGGTATCCTTTTCATTAATTGTTGTTACACACACACATATGCACACACACACATATGTATGTATATATTCCTAAGGATAACCTGCTCTGTCTGCATAATGTTACTTTTGTGTACGTTTTCAGGGCTGATCATTTGAGATTGGACACTCAATTGGTGTGCTTGTCCATGGGGAAGACTGTTTGTCCTGTTCTCAGCATTTCTTAGTTGCCTGCAGTTCTTAGTGTAGGGTTGTGGTCTCATGGGCTTTCCCCTGTCCACTTTGACGTATCTATTATTGCCCTTGTTCAGCTCATGTTCTCAAAGTCATGCTAGTGAGACTTTATGGATATGATTTCTGACATCACGAGGAGACAGTGTCTCATAGCAACGCCCCCATCCTCTGGTTCTTGCAGTCTTTCCACCCTCCCTGCTGTGTTTCCCGAGCCTTAGGTGTAGGAATTGTTTCGTAGATGTACACACTGAAACTGGACTCCACAATGCTGCATTTTAATTTTAATTGATTGTGGTTTTATTTTAATTTAATTTTAATGTGGCTTAAGTTGAATTTAATGTGGTTTTTCTGTAATGGTCTCTGCCTGTTGCAATGGGAAGTTTCCCTAATGAGGGGTGAGGACTACGTTTATCTCTGGGTACAAGGACAAACATTTAGAGTGTAGTTAGGGATTGTGCTGGTGTAGTAAATTGGTTGCAGGTTCTCCTTCAAGAGTTGAACCACTCCAGATCTCTTAAGATCAGATTAACAAGAGGGGAGTCTTGCTTGGTACTGGAAACCTAGCTCAGGTCAAGCGAATTCATGGATCTTGAAGGAGAACCTGCAACCAATTTACTACACCAGCACAATCCCTAACTACACTCTAAATGTTTGTCCTTGTACCAGAGATATTGATCGGGGGAGGGGGAGGGAAATGGGAAGCGGTTGTGGGGACGAGGCAGAAATCCTTAATAAATAAATAAATTTAAAAAATAAAAAGAAAGAAAGAAAGAAAGATCTGAACACAATAAAATAGTCTTGAATTATAAAAAAAAAAAAAAAGAGATCTGGAGAGCGATTGGTTACCACTAAGGTAGGTGTGCTACTACTGCACTCTTAGGGTTATCATGCCATGCTGGTCATCGCTGTGGTTTGTAGGCATCATAACTGGCTAGGACTGTTGTTTGTTTCTTTCCTTTGGAAGCTCTCATGGCACCTTCTGGTATCACGAAACCTTGTCCCCAGGAGAAAAGGCATTCTGGTCAGTTTCAGCTCAGGGCTGTGTGTCTGAAGTGTGTGATATCTTCAAGAATTGAGATTTAACTCCCATCTAAGGTCAGTCCATTTTGAAAGAGTTTTTATCTAATTTTAAAGAGTTATGTCCTATTAGTATATAGTAATAAACGAAGCTGTGATCCATTGTTTTGTGTGCACTATATTCTAATCACTCCTTGGAAAGTGGCATTGTTTTTTTTTTTCTATTAAACTGATCATAGCACTTTATAAAAAAAATTAAAAGCCGAACTTGAAATAGAAATGAACTATATTCGGTGTTTTCTTCATTTTTTTTTCTAGGAGATGAGTATGGAAAGCATGGCTCGGGGTGAGGAGCCTATACCGTCGTCAGAGGTGAGAAGGGATAGCTACTGTGTGTTATGTGAAATGAACACATATCTCAGAAGAGAAACCTTACTTTTGCAATAGTGGCTGAAGTTCTAATAAGGGCACTGTCAGGACCGCTGGTACAGGGTGAGCGTGGAGGTGCACACGCCATCATAGTGCCTGAGGCTGGAGAGTTGTGACTCCTGGCACGCCTAAAGTGACATAGTGAGGACCCTGTTCGAATAAACGAAAGCAAAACCAAAAACCCCGTGAAAGCGACAGTTCAAATGGATATTCTAACAAGTCACAAGTGCGTGGTGCTTTGAAGTAAACCTCAAAATATATAAAATTTGGACATACAGTATGTACTTTTATATTTTGAAGCTACAATGTCCTATTATATTGCACATAGAATTACTTCTACATTATGGATTTTGAAATTCCAAATTATTTAAAAATAACTTTTAGTACTTCTTAATGTAATTCTCTTATCATTTACAGGCATTGGTGAATTCTACTAATTAACAGTGTTTAGTTTGTGTGCTTAATTCAGAAATTTTATATCAAAATTGCAAGAAAAAGAACACGTTCATTTTGAAGGCATGTGAAAGTAAAAACTGACTTTGTGACTGTAGGACTTAATGATGGACTCGGGCAAAACCCTAGCTGAAATAAGTGATCGCTACGGGGCTCCTAACTTGAGCAGGGTGGAAGAGCTTGATGAGCCCATGTTCTCTGATGTAAGTATCAAAATGGATCCCAGAAGAGACTATTTTTCATGTTGATGAAGTCTAGTATACGAGAGGTGGGTTGACAAATAATACTTTTCCCTCATGCAAAGAAGAACAAATGTGTAGGTGCTAACCAATTTTGAAAAAAAAATGTACCTTTATTTTATGTGTATAAGTATTTTGACTGCATGTAGGTATATGTCTTTGTGTTATATGTGTATAGTGCCAGTGGAGGCCAAAAGAGGGTGCCAGATCCCCTGGAACTGGAGTTCCAGAAGTTTGTGAGCTGCTATATAGGTGCTAAGATTCAAACCCAGGTCCTCTAGAAGAACAGCATTGCTCTTGACTGCTGAGCCTCTTTCCCAGTCCCGCTAACCAGATCCTTAATTGGTGCTCTGCCTGTTGATGAAGCATCGCTGGCATATGTCTAACTAGATATATGATATAGCATATATAACCTCTATAGCTTCATAGCTGTCTATGCTTTTAACTATTTCTAAACATCCATATCCATGCATTTTACAATTAGATTTTGAAAACACAAACAGGGCAGTATTTGATGTTTATCGTTAGAATGACCGAGAGTTCTACTGTCCATCCCAGTGTAGTTCATGACTGAAGGAAGAGCCCGTGTTAACTGACTCTGATCAGCGGGGGACTTCCCTGAAAGGAAGGCCATGTGATGGCTAACCTTGGCTATCAACTTGATACACCTGGAAATGACTTTGAACTGCCTCCATCAGGTTAGCCTGTGGGTGCATTCATGGAGGCATTTTCTTGATAGCTGGTTGATGGAGGAGAGCACAGCCTACTGAGAGCTTGGTCTGAATAAGAAATAAGGAAAGTGAGGGAATGAAACAGTAAGCAGTGGTCTGGCCCGGTCCAGTCTGCTATAGCTTCTGCTTCAGTTATTTCTCCATCATTCCTCGGTGATGAATTGCAATTTGGAAGTGCAAGCCAAAAAGCCCCCTCCTTCCATGTTGCATTGGCCATGGTGTTTTGTCACAACAGAAAGAAAACAAACTAAAACAGGTGCATCTTGTTACTTTATTCTGTGGGCATTGAGAGGGTGGGCTATGATGAGGATGGAGGAATCTTGATGAGGAAAGAATTCCATGCAGAAATCATAAGAAGAAGAAAGACCCAGGTAGGAGAGAGCAAAATGTGATGCATAGGGCAATAAGGGATGAGGTCAGGAGACAACAGGAGCCAGACCCTGAAAGGACTTGGCGTCCTTGCTCTGGATCTCACATATTTTCCTACAGGAAGTGGAGACCTCTATCATCAGAGCTGCACTTTAGAAAGAGCGTCTGGCTACAATAAGGGAGAAGAGTGGGGAACTAGGTGTGAGGAGATCAACTAGGTTTTCATAGTAATCCAGAAAGAGCATGGATGCTAACTGAGATGAGGGAAGGAGCAAGGTGTTGAGGAGAGTGTACAGGGTGAGAAGGCCTGCAGGCTGGGGTGGGAGGACCCATATGGAATTGCAAGATTTAATGGTGGCTACTGGAAGTAAAAGAAAAGATGTGTTTAGGTGTCTCCAAAGCTATTCAGAAAGCAGGGCTAGAAGTGCCTAGTGGCAGACAGTAGTGAGCTACAACTAATAAACAGCTCCATTCCTTTGAGCCCATAGGCCATTGGGAGGGGGCTATAAGAGACCAAACAAGGAGACTTGGAACTAGAGATGGCAGGAAGCTGCCAAACAGCCCAATGTTCAAGCTGAGCTTTACAGAGCTGGGAGAGACGTGAGACTTAACAGCAGGGAGCTGAGAAAAGCCAGATCACATGAGCATGTAGCTTAGGCAGATGGGACTTAGGAGCAGAGGGAGTTATTGGGAGGACAGAGGGTTTTTATCAGGTGGAGAGTTAGAAAAAGGCAGGTATTTAAAAGGGAGACCACATGGGGCTGTAATAGTCATCTGCATGCTCAGATGTGACCAGAATGGACTTGAGTTTGGCTCAAGAAATGAGGAGAGGGGACCAAGAATGAATCCTAGCTTTTAGCCGTGAGCAACTGAGCTGTGAGTGTTATCCTGGGATGAGTTGGTGAACATAAGAAAAGGAAGAAGTGTTTTGAACAGGGAGGCTTTCGTCATGGAGACTTTGAATTTCTGATGATTCTGGGATATATATGCACATGACCAAAACCCATTTTATGTATGGTATAGCTCTGGTAGGGACAGGAGGGCCATGCAGAAAATTCAAATTCAGCAGCCAAGGATATATGTGTTAACTGAGCTAGAGGAGGCGACATGGTGTTGAGAAATGAACACAGTGTGTGAAGATCTAAGTTGTATGTAGGAAGGAGCCAGTAGGATTTCCAGTAAGAGGAGCCTGGACTAGAGAGATGACTACACCCTTAAAGGCCAAAACTCACAAGGACGTTATTCCCAATGGTAGGTGGCTCAGGAAAGGGTGTTGCTCTTAGGAAGGGTGAGAAAGACAAGGGTAAGCCTTCATTGGGAGCATCAGTTATAATTATATACTACCTGGGTACTCTTCTAAAATTAACCGGAACTCAAAAACCTTCCTTTACAGGATCGCATTGACAGTACTTAAGCTCTATTGTCTTTTGTGTCTTTTCATTGTAGTAAAGTTTATTTATTCTGTATTTTTCTTTTAGGTTGCATTAAACATTGATCAAGATTTGTAGGATCAATCAACTGTGAAGAAATATTGTCTACCCATTTCAGACTTCAAATCACAAAAGCCCTTATATGTAATTTCCCCCCTCCAAACTTGAACTCTACTCCCCACCACCACCCACTAACTTTGTAAATGGGACTCAAGGGTATCCTTAAAACAGTTTTCTCAGTACATCTGGTTACTTGTGTGATCTATTGTAGAAGCATAACAGAATTTGCTGAAGCAGCAAAAAGAGGCAAGAGATGAGCCAAAAGAAAATGTACATCTCTACAAAGAACAAAATTACTTGGAAAAAAAGTTCTAGTAAAGCAACTACTACTGAACGAAGGATGGAGTTTCAACAAGTCTCAAATAGTGTGTCTGCTTTAGGAATGAACTGAAAAACATTTTTCAAGTTGCTGGCAGGTGGCACCTCATAGGAACACTTCATCAAAATTCCATGATGTAGCCAGATTTGAACAGAGTATTTTCCCATTGCTCTGTTGGTGGGTGTTTTCGAACTCGACTCAACTGTATCCACTCAAGAACAGGTCTGGGGTTTCCTTTTCTTTATTCTCTGTGCAGTTGGCTATCCAGGTCCCATCTTCTTTAACAGAGTTTGTGAAAGTAGGGTTGTTGAAATGAGTGTTCACACAGGCTGTGGAGTGGGAAAGTCTTGGAAGGTCTGGAGCATGCTTTTCTTTTCTTTTCTTTTCTTTTCTTTTCTTTTCTTTTCTTTTCTTTCTTTCCTTCCTTCCTTCCTTCTTTCTTTCTTTTTCTTTTTTGTTTGCTTTTTGAGACAGGGTTTCCTCTGTGTAACAACCCTAGCTGTCCCGGAACTAGCTCTTGTAGACCAGACTGGCCTCAAACTCACAGAACTCCACCTGCCTCTGCGTCTTGAGTGCTGGGATTAAAGGCATGCACTACCACTGCCCGGCACTTGGTTTTTCTTGATCAGTCAGTAGGCTCAGACATGAGGGCACCATGATCAGACAGATTTTTTGGTTCCTTTGAAATTTCAGGATATGTCTAGCGCCCTCGGGAAAACTTTTACAAAACGCTTCCATATCTAAGGCTATGGTGTTGAGTTTTCAGTTCTTAAAGACAAGGATATAAAACCACAAATGTTAGAAAGAAACCCTTTTGCTTTTAATGATTTTTGTATATAATATCATTTTTCCAAGCCATTGTTCAGTTGGAAAGTGAAACAATGAAAAAACAGGAGAAATTACTCATTTTATTAAATGTAAATATTATCATGTCATACCTGTTCTACACATTTTCACAAGAAGCTCTGGAGTGATGTGTTCTCTAGAAATCTGCCAGGCACTAGGGTACAGCATGACATACCATCATTCACACCCATAAACAAAAGTCTGTTAGAGAAGGGAACTTGTGGTGATGCTTCATTTGTATTTTAGTAAATAAAGTTTGCCTGAAGATCAGAGAGTAAAACAGCCCCACTGTTCAGCCTTACAGACTAGACAGTATTGGCACACACCTTTAATCCCAATAGCCACACTAGTTTGCCATAAGAACTGGGTGGTAGTGGTGTACACCTTTAATCCCAGCCCTCGAGGGGAATTAAGATGGGAGAAGACAGCTCTCACTCACAGTCTCATTCCGAGATTCTTGGAGGCAGGATCGCCATTTCAGACTGAGGTAGAGGTAAGAGTCAGTGGCAGGCTGTTTTGCTTTTCTGACCTTCAGGTTGAACCCCAACATCTGTCTCTGGGTTTTTATTAATTCTGCTACAGGAACTGTGTCTTTGCAGGTCTATTCTGCCTAAGACTAATCCATCATGGGTGGCTGGAGGTGAGAGACAGGAAGGAGATGAGGTGGGAAGGGAGGTGATATTTTTTAACTTTGCACAGCCTGGGACAGTTCTCAACAGGAATAGGTGGATTTGGCTGGTCACAGGCTGAGACATTGCGGTTCCAAGTAGGGTACAGTTTTTGTTTAAAATACTCCTGACCAGAACTAGGTGAAAAGGGGGAGAAGTGGGTATTCTTCACCTTTAAGTGAGTTGGGTGTCAAATAGGGCAGCTAATCCTGGCTGTCCATCAGAGCCATAGACTCCTTTGCTGGTGGAAATTAGGCTCCTTTTGATAGACTGTCTACTGTTGGACCACATCCTGAGCTTAATATGAAAGGATCTAGATCTTCTCTGTCTGAACCAGGCTCAAGGATGCTGAAGAATCCTGGAGCGGAGAAAGCAGATGGGAAAACGGTGGCTACAAAGGATGCAAGCATAGGTAATTTTCTTAGTCAGGGTTTCTATTGCTATGAAGAGATACCATGACTATAGCAAGTCTTATAAAGGAAAATATTTAATTGGGGTGGGTCACTTTCAGTTCAGGTTTGGTCCATTATTGTCATTGCGGGAAACAAGACCGTATGCAGGCAGACATGGTGTGGGAGAAGGAGCTGAGGGTTCTTACACCTTGGCCTGTAAGCGTCAGGAAGTGGTCTGTCTTACTGGGCATGGCTTGAGCATATATGAGACCTTAAAGCCTGCCTCCACAGTGACACACTTCCTTCATCAAGGCCACACCTCCTTACAGTGCCTTTCCCTTTGGTGGGTATTTTCTTTCAAACCACCACAGTAATTAAATTAATTTCTTCCACTGCAAAAGATGAGATCATTAAAAATGACAATGTTTGCAGACACACTGAATCTGGAATGGAAGGATGCCGATACTGAGCAAAATTAAGGATCAAATTATGTATCAGTAAAATAAAAAGTATACACAATTAGGCAACTTTTGTCTGTTCCACCAGCTCTCCACTCTCTCCTTTTTGAGAACCCCTAGATTTATCCAGAAGAGAGAATTTTGAATGTCATTACCACAAAGAAGTGGTAAATATTTAAGGTAACAGAAACACTAATTGTTCCATTAGTTGTTACCTATATATATGTGTGTATGTATGCGTGCATGTATGTATATATATTTAGCACACATAAATAATGTAAATTATGTGTTATTAAAATAAAATACTTCGGGGCTGGCGAGACAGTTCAGCGAGTAAAAGCTCCTGCCGTTAAGCCTGACTCTCTGAGTTCTGTACCCGGAACCCACATGGAGGAAGAAGAAAACATTCCTGCAGGTTGTCCTTTGACAATCACGTGCACATAGCATGTGTGTGCCTATACACACATAATACACAATACACAATAATACACAATAAATACACAATAACAACATTTCAAACTTTTTCATATTCACTTTATTTTTGTGCCTGGAAATCTTCAGATTCCTCATGGGCAACAAGAAATCTGTGTTTGTAGTACCTTAACTACGATTAACTACAATTCCTCATGTGAAAGTAAAATAACATTTAACTGTTTTGTTGATTACCAAGCTTAAAATATGTAGAATTTTTTTTTCTGGATTTATTTTTAAAATCTAATTTAATGTATGTGAGTGTGTGTGTGTGTGTGTGTGTGTGTGTGTGTGTGTATGCATGTGTATGTATGCTCACTCGTGCAAGGGCAGATGTTTGTGTTCCATGGTGCATGTGTAGAGGTCAGTACTATACCGGGGACCAGGTTTTTTCCTTTACATTGTTAGGCAGGGTCTTTTCTTCCCACTCTGCTGCATATTCTAAACTGACTCAGGAGCTTCTGAGTAAGTCTCCTGTCTTCACCTCCCCTCTCACAGTACTGGTACACGTGCTACGAGACACATGCCACCACAACCAGCCCTCTCCCCCATTTTTAACAGAAGTTCAAGGTCAAACTCAAATTATCAGGCTCATATAGCAAGCACTTTTATCAAACCTCAGTTACCCTAGTTTTCCTTTAATCGATGCTTATTTCTATGGATTCATGGTGTTTAATTAATTTGCTATTTTTAAATTGTGCTACAAATATGATGATGGGGGGTGGTGGTATGCATGTGCCTGTACTTGTTGAGGTCAGAGGTTGGCTTTGGGTTTCTTCCTCTCTTGCTCTCTGCTTTTTAGTTTTTGAAACAGATTCTCTTCAATGAACATGGAGTCCACCTCTTGGCTAGACTGGCTGGTCAGTGAGCCCTCAAGATCCGCTGGGGCTATAGGCATGCACACTCACCTTTGACTTCTAGGTGGCTGTTACATATCCAGATGCAGTTCTCATGCTTGTACAGTAAGCACCTTGCACACAACAATTTCTCCAGGTTCAGTGTTTTAAAACTATTGGGAACGTAGATTGCCTTTGCAGAGGACCCGAGTTTCGTTCCCAGCACACACATCGAGAGCTAGAAATGTCTTCTGTTGTTCTCTCTGACTTAGAGAGTGTGACGAGAGGCCTTTTCTGGATATATGGGAACCGACACAATGGTTACATTTGCCAGGAGACTGGTAGCTGAACCACACGATTTATGTATACAAGGAACACGTTACCAAGTGCCCTACCCATTGAAAAGACCAAGAAATAGAGGATGGGAAACAGCAAGTAAAAAAGTGAAAGCAGGAACCTTTTGGAAAATCCAGGAACCCAGATATGAAGGATTCATTAAGTTGTACTTGTTTCTGGTTATGTGCCAAGCTGTAACACTTCTTGTCACCACTACAAGTCACAAAGGTTCAATTTAGGTCCTAGAGCCTTACAATGTTGGACAGCTCAACAAATCCACGTGTAATATTGCCATTCTGCCAACCATTATAATTCAGCCGAGCCCAACCTAACCATGTCAGGGACACTTACTTTAAGCCTATAGTTAGACAGAATCCCTTAAAGCCAAAATTACAACAAAGGGTTTCATACCTGTGAGGCTTCTTACATGCTGTGTAGAAAGCGAAAACCAGAACGGTTGAACAGGTTCTTACCATTAACCCATAGAGCTGAAGGTACATGCGGGCTTGAGGATACTGAAACATCTCACTAAGATCACTGGCTGGGAGCTATGATGACGTAATCATCATTTTCTCTCTTTTCTGATGAGACTCAAGTACAGGAAGCAGAAGGTGCAAAGGTGTGGACACCCACTGTTTGAGCAGGTGCAGAATTCTTTGGGCAGACGCCAAGTGTTGACTGGGTCATTTGTTTCCCCCTTTGATGTTGTTTCTTCATGGTGAGCAAGAGCAGCTTGCATCTGTCTGATCCCATGAACCAGTGCTGTCCACCTTGTCTCATTTCTGTCCCCTTTGTTGAGAGTGTCCTTTCCCACTGCCAGGGTCTTTGTTGTGAATCTTCTTGCTTTCAATTCTTCCTTTTCTTCCACTTTGTGGTTTTTGTTGTCATCCGATTCCTTCTGTTCATCATTGGAAGCTCTTCAGTCTCCGTGCCAAGGGGCTTGTGAAGATCTTTATCAGCAGTCAATTCTGGAAGTTTCCCAACTGTCAGCCTAAGTCTGTTACAAGTCTTAGGTCACATACTAATTATGCCTGCTTCCTTACAGTGCAAGACCTCTCTACTCTCCCCAGAAACTGTTGAGAGTAGAAATCTTGCCAAACAAAGCTGTGACTGAAGCTTTTTACCTCAGACTCCTGCCATACTGCTTGCTAAGATGCTAATAAACCTCATGCATCGAGGACAACCCTAACCTTTGGGTGTGTTTTTAAATTGTTTTTCCAAATGCCTATAGTGTGTCTGGTGCGAGTTCTGTCCCTGCAGCATTCTGGACAGCAGAACGTTAATATTATTCAAGGATCCTGGCAGCTTTCATCCATATTTGATCACTTCCGATGACCTACGCAATCATTTGTTGTAAATAGGATGCTTTGGCTAAAGCGCTCGCATGTTGGTCCATTGGTTGGTTGAACGAATGCAGTTACAGTTGGTGGTAGACACACAGCCTTTACGCTAGTGTGGATTGTGCCCATGTGCTGTGGCTATCCATTAGACCAGAAGACTCTTGAATTAAATGCTGTTTTTGTTTATAGAATACTCTTGTCTGTAAAATAAAACAGTTCAAAAACCAATCCTTAGGCAATGCTGGTGTTACCCAGGCTCTCTCTTTCTTGTGATAATAAACAGGGAAAGACAGCTTGCTCATATTCTTGAATGTTCTAGGCTTCTTTAGCTGTAGGAAGATTTTTATTTGTACCCTACAACATCTCCACCCAAAAGCAGCATCTCACAGTCTTTAAATGCATAGTCTTCATGCTTCTAAGACAGGATCATTTCATCAATGTTAAGCAGTTGGTTTTACAGATTTTTCTCAACCACGGAGACCCCAAGCAGCTTGCTCATCCTTCTGGATCAACACTTGCTACCCACTTTAGGTCTTCAGATTTGGAAAATTATGATACTCCAACTCCCACTATGCAAGCCTGCGCTGGGGCAGAAAAATTTATACTCCTTCCTGCTTTGCCTTTATTTTATTTATTTAGGAAGAGTCTTCCGTAGCCGTGAGCTCCCAATTCTCTTGCCTCCACCATCACACCCCAGCTGAGAATTAGTATTACTACCATGTTTCCAACTTGAGTGTTTGAGAGTCAGAAGCGGCGCGTTAGGGTACACAAGGTACACTTGTGAAAGCTCTGGGCACAGGTTGTGCTTTCCAAAGTCCCACTGCTCTCAGCAGGTTGTGGGCGTCCCTATCGCGGTGGCCCTGCTGGTGCCTGGTAAAGCTTCACTTCCGCCATCCCCCACCACAGGGATACACTTTGCAGTTTCTTTGTGGTTTAAGTCACATTTTCTTCTATTGCTAGTGTGATGCAGCCTCTTCTTGTGTTTGCTGCGGATTGATTTGCCCATCTGTGCACGGCATGCTCAGTATTTGCTTACACACTGTATTGATTTGTTTGTCTCTGTCTTATTGATTTTCTTTGTTGATTATGTGTGTTGGGAAAGTGTTCAGGTGGTAGGCTGACTTTACCTGTTTTGCCATGCTTATCGCTTGGTAAAATTGTTCAGTTTTATTTTATTTAAATATCGCATTCATGACTTCATTCTTTTTTTTTTATTGCGAAAAGAAGAAAAAAAAACATAAACAAAAAACAAGTTTCCACCTCCTCCCAGCCTCCCATTTCCCTTCCCCTCCTCCCACCCTTCTCCCCCTCCTCCCACCCTTCTCCCCCTCCTCCCACCCTTCTCCCCCTCCCCCCACTCCTCTCCCCCTCCCTCTCCAGTCCACAGAGCAGTCCGGGTTCCCTGCCCTGTGTTAAGTCCTAGGTCCTCTCCGTCCATATCTAGGAAGGTGAACATCCAAACTGGCTAGGCTCCCACAAAGCCAGCACATTAAGTAGGATCAAAACCCCCTGCCATTGTCCTTGGTGTCTCATCAGCCCTCATGTTCGCCATGTTCAGAGAGTCCGGTTTTATCCCATGCTTTTTCGGTCACAGTCCAGCTGGCCTTGGTGAGCTCCCCGTAGATCAGCTCCTCTGTCTCAGTGGGTGGATGCACGCCTCGTGGTCCCGAATTCTTTGCTCATGTTCTCCCTCCTTCTGCTCCTCCTTGGGACCTTGGGAGCTCAGTCCAGTGCTCCTGTGTGGGTCACTGTCTCGATCTCTATCCATCACCAGATGAAGATTCTATGATGATATGCAAGATATTCGTCAGTATTGCTCTAGGATAGGGTCATTTCAGGTTCCCAATCCTCAGCTGCCTAAGAAACTAACTGGGAACCTCATCTTGGGCACTAGGGAGCCCCTCTAGGGTCAAGTCGCTTGCCCACCCTAAAGTGGCTCCCTTAACTAAGAATTGTGGTTCCGTGCTCCCCTATCCACCTTTCCTTTATCCCAATTCTCCTGTTTCCCAGGTCCCCCCTCCTTCCCTTCTACCTTTTCTCTCCCCATCTCCCCTTACCCCCATCCCACCCCCCCCCCCCAAGATCCCATTTTCTCCCCGGAAATTTGGTCTACTTCCCTTAGCGAAGAGGACAACTATATGTTTTTCCTTCGGTTCACCTTCTTCCTTAGCTTCTTTAGGTTCACCTATTGTAGACTCCGTGGTCCTTATTTATGGCTAGAAACCAATTATGAGTGAGTACATCCCATATTCATCTTTTTGGGTCTGGGACACCTCACTCAGGATAGTGTTTTCTATTTCCATCCATTTGCATGCAAAATTCGAGAAGTCATTGTTTTTTACCGCAGCGTAGTACTCTAGCGTGTATATATTCCATACTTTCTTCATCCATTCTTCCATTGAAGGGCAATTCTCAACAGAAGAAGTTCAAATGGCCAAAAGACACTTAAGGTCGTGCTCAACTTCCTTAGCAATCAGGGAAATGCAAATCAAAACAACTTTGAGATATCATCTTACACCTGTCAGAATGGCTAAACTCAAAAACACCAAGGATAACCTTTGCTGGAGAGGCTGTGGAAGAACGGGTACCCTCATCCATTGCTGGTGGGAATGCAATCTTGTGCAACCACTGTGGAAGTCAGTGTTTCGGTTTCTCAGGAAATTCGGGATCAACTTACCCCTGGACCCAGCAATACCACTCTTGGGAATATACCCAAGAGATGCTCTATCAAATGACAAAAGCATTTGTTCAACTATGTTCATAGCAGTATTATTTGTAATAGCCAGAACCTGGACTTCATTCTTTCATTAATTAATGAACCGTTTTCAAATCTCCTAGGGTAGGTCACTTGATCAAAGGATTATTTTTTCAAGTTAATTCTCTGTCTATCTGATCTCTGTCCAAACTTACAATTTAAAATTATGGCAAAGTGTGTTTTTAGCAGTTGTACCAAATAATAAGAATTTTGGCTCAGGATTTGAATGGTGGTGGCAAATGGCATCTCAGATACTGGAGTTAAGTGTGCTTGCTCCAGTTTAAATGTGTCAGCCTACTTCCAGCTGTTTGGTTGAAAGTGAGACCCCAGCCCCCTGATACCCCTATATCCAAGATGTCTGGGATGTTTGGGTGAAAGCATCTCTCCAGCCCCTGGCACCCATCCTTGGAGTGCCAATGGAGCAGGCATGGATCAGGAAGCTTCATTTCAAGCCCCCTCCCCTGTGAATTGCCTTGGTCCAGACTCCACCTCTGGGAAAGTTTGCCAAGCACTGACCCCTGCCCAGGGAGGGTGAGGACCACGCCCACAGGCTATTCAGGCTGCAGCCCAGAAAAGGAACACACAGTCTCCGGGTTTTGCATGGTCTCTCCTTCTCTCTTTCCCTCGCCGGTGGGCCACCCAAGAGCACTGCATTAAACGTGGGCATCTTTTATTTGGTCTGATTAGAATTATTTGCGTTGGTGGAGAGGCTCGTCTTAAGAAATATTCCTAACATATGGAGGTTCCACCTCTCAGCGAGGCTTGGCTTTCATGGCATGATTGTGACTTCAACGGAAAGCCTGAAAATCAACAAAAATAAATGCGAATGGGTCTCGAAGCCCTGCCGGAATTGAGCAAAAAATAAGGGGGGGGGGGAGAACTCAATGAGACGAAGCCGATCTTATCTTGGCGGAGAGTGTGCAAGAAGGACGTTTTTCCAACAAGTGGTCCTGGGCCCATGGGAAAAACAGGTCCCCTCGGTGGAGTCCTCCATAAATTAGGAATATTTCATAAGACGAGCCACTCACCTGATGCAAATAATTCTAATCAAACCAAGTTAGGTCAAATAAAAGATGCCCATGTTTTATGTTGTACTCCTGGGTGGCCTGGGAAAGAACTTGCAAGGGAAAGAGAGAAGGGGAGACCACATAAAACCTGGAGACCATATGTTTCTTTTCTGGGCTGCAGCCTAAATAGCCTGTGGGAGTGGTCCTAACCCTCTCTGGGCAGAGGTCAGCTCTTGGCAGGCTTTCCTGGAGGTGGAGTCTGGACCAAGATGACTCCCAGGGGAGAGGGCTTGAAATGGAGCTTCCTGCTCCATTCCTGCTCCATTGGCACAGCCTTGTCTTTATTTTCAGTGTTTTAACTTCTTTTCTTTGGGGTTAGTGTGGGAGGTGGGAGAATTCACAACTATGAGGTACACAGAATGACTTCTCAGGCTGAGAGAGACTGACCCTCATTGGTGGATGGCTCTTACGAGTTACAAAATATGTTCACATGCTCTGGAATGACTCCCACAGGACCATTCCTCCTAACTAGGTGTTTGCTTTAATCTATTCTGTCTTGAAATTCGGTTATCTCTGACATTATGGTTCTCTCATTTAAAAGGAAAAAAAAATCACCCACTATCCTAACCCTAACTCTACTGCATTATCTGGACTGTATTTAGTTTAGATAGCACTTGTAGTTTATAGAAGCAGAAGTGCTAGCTCCAACATCATGGTCTGGAGACCAAAGGAAAGAAGTTTGACAGACATGCATGCTGGAGAAGTCTGAGGGCTGAGCAGCTGCCCCAAGGAAAGCATGGAAGGGCGGTAGGGGAGAAGTGGGTGGTAGATTCAATGCTAGTCAGCCTCTGGCCCACAGTGTGGTGCCGAATCCAGTCCAAGCACTGTTGTTGCTTTGCCCTTTCTGATGTCTGATGACTCTATACTCAAGGCTTTGTTACCAAGGATAATTACAAATCAGAAGACACTGGTATAATAACCCCAACACTTAGCAGACAAACAGAAGAGAACCAGGAGTTCAAGGTCATCTTTGGCTATGTAGGTGTTTGGGGCCTAAGGTATATAAGACACTTGGGAGGTAAAAAAGACAGGGCAGCAGGATGATGCAGCAGGATGGGGAGGTAAAAATGGCAGGGCAGTAAGATAATACAGCAGCAGTACTTGCTGCCAAGCCTGATGAACTGAGTTTGATCTGAACTCACATGGTAAAGGACATAACTCCTGCCTTCTAAGCCAGTGGTTCTCAATCTGGGGATTGAATAACCCTTGCATATCAGATATTTATATTACAATTCAGAACAGTAGCATTATAGTTATGAAGTAGCAACGAAAGCAATTTATGTTTGTGGGTCATCACAAATAAGGAATGGTATTATAGGGTTGCAGAAATAGGAAGGTTGAGAATCATTGTTCTAAGATACCCTCTGACTTCTACACAGAACCTTGGCATGGCTGCCCACCCTCCTTGCAAAGTAGATAAATGAATGCAATAAACAAAATTAAACCAATGAAAGCACATTACATGAACAGCAGAATTAGAGATGCATTTCCTTCATCTTTCAAAGATGCTTTGTTTATAATTATAGAAGATTCAAAGTCAAGCCATCAGTAATTACAACTGTGAAAGGTTTTCCTCCCCATAGAAAAGCAATGGAACCAAGGGGAACTACTAAATAATCAACCATTGTGTGTAAGTAGCCATAATAGACAATCGTAATCACCATTTATAGGGAGCTACTTTAATTTCTTGAATTACTCAGGAAAGGGGAATTGAAGCCTGTTGGGTGAACAGAACGGAGGAGTGAAATAATACCCGGAATAGGAAGAGCTGAGTTTAAATATCTGTTAATATCTACTGATCACAGAACCTGAATAAATCACCTAACGTCTGTGGACCTGAGATTTCTCCTCCATTAAATGGGGTCAGTACTGATTGCAACATTCATTGTGAGAGCTGAGGGGGCCAATGTATGCAGGAATATTTTATAAGTTACAAGATATGATATAATTGTTGATAGGAAAAATTGTTAGCAGAGAAGATGAGTGGGCAGCTGCTTTCCACATAAATGTTTTCAAACTCTGCTCTCAGCTCCTCAATGAGACAAGTTTACAGACATTTCCAGACATGAAACAGTTTGGGGCCAAGTCTTGTGTAGTTTTTTTTTTTTTAAGTAAAAGCTTGGGTGGAAGAGATAGGCTGGCCAAATATAAGTGACTAAAGCATTTTAGCTTCTTATTTCATACAAAAATATTTAAATTCGAACAATTCAATTCTAATATATATACATATATATAATTACACACACACATAATTTCCCAGGGACATAGCTGAGGAGAAGGTTTAGAGGGTAAAATGCTTACTTTGCAACCATGAAGATCTGAGTGTGATCCCCAGAACTAATGTAGAAAACTGGGCATTGTGGCATTCACTTTTAATTCCAGCACCGAGAAGGCAGAGACAGGATGATCCTTAGGACTTTCTGGTCAGCCAGGCTAGCTGAATCTGCAAGCTTCATTCAGGACAGTAAGAGAACCCATCTGTGAAATATAGAACAAGGTGCAGGGCTCCTGAGAAATTACATTCCAGGCCATCCTTTGCTCACCATTTGCATATACACATATTAGAATACAAGCATTCATACATGAACATACACAAACACACATACACAAACACAAATGAGAGACAGACACGTGGAGACAGAGAGACAGAGAGATACACAGAGAGACAGAAAGAGAGATAGAGATACAGAGACAGAAGACAGATAGGCAGGCAGGCAGACAGACAGACAGACAGACAGACAGGGACACACATACACACCCCCGGGGGGAGGAATGAAGAGATGCCTTAGCAGATAAGGACTCTTGCTATTCCTGCAAAGTTTAGTTACCAGCTGTATCTGTAGCTTCAGGGGATCTGACATGCTCCATGGGCATCTTTGCCACAGACAGACAGACAGACAGACACACACACACACACATGGACAGACGAAAAGAAAAATAAAATAAATCTAAGATTTTTCTAGAGCACAAAGATAATAAAATACGGAGATCTTTCATTTTCGTGCCCCCATACTTTTGTCTTTGAAGTGTTACAAATCCCTGTTTTGTTGAGGTGATCGCAGTTTGTTTAGGAGAGAAGGAGTTCTGGGGAAGCATGACTTGTCAGTGACTTTGCCACAGCCGTTGGTGATATTACACAACTTTAGGCTGGTGACCTAATAGCAGCTAGGGAATCAAAGGCTGAGGTCATTCAGTTTTGGCAGTGTGCAGTTTCTAGCTTTCCTGTCTTTGTTGTTGAATTTTGACGAGTCGACTTAGACAAGACTAGTTTACATTTCTATAAATTTAATAACGGTGATGAAGACCATCTTCAGTTTCAAAAATAAGACCACTTTATATATAGTAGCTGTGGCCATGATGATCTTATTTCAAAGTGGCTTCAGGGATGCATCCAGATCTCTAGTGGAATATTCTCAAAATATCAGATCAAAGCTCTAAGTGAAAAGGTTTAGGATTGAGATGTGACACCTGATTCCCTAGTAGAACATTTAGTAAATTGATTGCTGTAACTTTTCTCCTTGAAAAATATTGGAAACCCTTCCAGAGCAGAGTTCCATGAGCTGGGCAGAGTCCTTGGCTGCACTCCTCATTCCTGATACACTGGGTGTCATTGCCTTCCTTCTTCCTCCCCTCACTGTGGTTACCTTGGTTGGGAGATAAACTGGCCAATCCTGACCTGCTCTTCAATCCCACCCAATTTTGTATTTTGTCCACTGAAATTATTGGCTACTTCTAAATACACCCATGTTCCTTCTAGCTTTGACACAGGTGGAACATTTATCTTGGTGAGTGTATTTGCTTATGCAAGATGAGTATTGCTGACATAGTGATACCAACAGGCTTGAGAATATTGCCTAGTTAATAGAATCATATATTCTTAACATTCTTTGTAAAAATTACTCTTCTTGCCAGAGTTTGGGATTACTTTTGTATTTTTTTTTAATCCAAGAAAGAGTTTTAACTCATACTTCTTGGATGCTTGTTAAAATACATCCTCACACTCTGACAAGATGTTGAGTTATCATACAAGAGCCTACCAGTGTCAACAGAGTAGGGAGGCCACGTGAGATCACTGAGCGTACTCTGTGTACACTGAGATCACCTTCATTCAGGGCACAGCACTCGCCTCCTGCCTATGCTGGACACATGTTGGCGGTACACTGTGTTTGTGTCTATTGCCATTGTTGTTTCTTCTGGGCTACTACATGTTTATTCAGGCCAGAAAGTTGGAAGTCACTCCCGAATCTTGCTACTCCCCTGCTTACCACACTCCACGAAGTAGCAGACCCTAATCCTACTCTGACTACACGAATCAGTTAGTTCCTCCAGGGCAGTCTTGTCTAGTCCAGTTACTTGACATAGCTATAGTTTGCAGCGTTTCTACAAGCAACTGTGTCTGGTTACGTTCCAAGTGTACTGACATAGTTTGTTTGATATCCTTCTTGCATTTCTCTCTGTCAAGTTAAACTCTAAACTCTTTATAGGACTTAGAAAGCTCTTTGTGGTGTGGCTTCTGCCTCTTTCTTGGTACCCTGACTGTTTATTAAATCACACTCCATGACACCTGAAGCATCCCCAAGACTCCATGCACTCCCATTTCCCGGTTGTAGTACCTTTTTTCCCTCTTGCACCAGGTCCTTTTACTAGCCTACCATAGGATTGGTATATGGCAGTTGTTTAATTTACATTCGGAGAATGAAAAGAATGGAAGAATGGAGGATGAATGTATGTCTAGATGGCTACTTCAGAGACAGGATTCCAGCAACACAGGTAGATTTCTACTTAAATCTTGATCCCCAGAATTGATCCGATTTAGAAAGGCCAAGAGTCAATCTGGCTTTACGATGTAACTCTAGACTTAGAATAATAGTTATTAAGATAGTGAGGGTGGGTCTCTTCCCAGAGAATCTGAATTAATTGGTTGAGGGGCTGTATTTTGTTCCTTTTTAAAAATCAAACTATTTGATTATCAAATAGCCAGGTTATGTGGTGTTGAAACCTTTCCCCTAGGTTCTCTCTATAAGAAAGACCAAGGAAGGCAATTCTTCATTTTGAAATAGTTACTGATTTGTTCTATGGCTTAAGCATTATGTAGTACTCATGGTTTTGCTTCTCACTGGATGATAAGCATAGCAGGAGGAATAAGAGGAAGTTGGTCGTATTTAACTAGGACCAATGGTGCCACCCAATCAGCTTCCTAATTAACCTAACCCAGAAGCTGCCCCAACAGGAGTTCACAGAGCTTTGCTCCCATGATGGTTTTAAATTTCATCAGGCTGTCCATTAAGATTAACCATTACAACTCTACTTCTTGACAACCTTTGTACCTAAACACATCCCTTTAGGCCATAACATTCTACTCCTTGTCCCCATAAGCACATGGACCTCTCAAAATACAAAATGAATTCAGTTGAAGTTAAGTTTCCACGGTCTTTAATAGCTATAACACTGCTCAAAAATTTAAATTTTGTCTGCAAAGTTTTTTTTTCTAAAATCTAGCCAACTTCTTAACTATGAACTCCTAACAGTCAAATAGTCAAACCAGAAACAAATTATATACTTCCAACATACAATAGTACGGAGTAAATAAATATTCCCATTCCAAAAGGGAAGAGGGGGAGGCATATCTAAGACATATAAGACAAAAGCAAAGAAAAAAAATCCCAGCATGGTGAACAGCAAATCATGTAATTGCATCTTCAGTATCCAGGGCTCATAACACAATTATCTGGGCTCCAAAGGGCTTGGGTAGTCATTTTTTTCTAGCCTTGCTACCTGCCGTACACATAGCCTCTCCCTTGAACCAGCCCCACTCAGTGCACGCAACATTACACAGTGTGTTCCTTGATTCTGTATCTCTAACATCCTGGAATCATCATTGTAACTTTGGCTTCACACTGTAGTTCCTCAGGGTCTCACTGCCGGATTCCAACTCTTTCACACATTTCCTTGCTTCAGTATCTCTCTGAAATTATGTTTCAGGCCTCCATGGGCTTCTGCTGAGTCTCTATGTTCTGACTCTGGGAAAACACCTTCCCAGACAGTTGATTTTGACAAGGGAAACCTCTTCAGTGACGTTCTCAGTTTAGGCTCCCTCCTTTTAGATGAATCTTTGCTTTTGCAACATGGAGCTTTTCATCTTCATAATCTGGGAGCCCTCATCCTATTGTAGTAATGCAAAGGACTGGGTATTTCTTTAATGGTGCTAATCTCTTTAACAATTATAGGTGCTTCCAAACCTGCCTTATCTTCAACTGCTGTTTTTGTTTTCTTCCTCCTTCACATTTTGCTACCTGCCATTGTAGGGCTGGATAAGCACAGCGAACAGTAATTATGAAACAGTCACTGTGATATTATCTTGAAACTTCCTATGCCAAACAAGCTAATCCATTTTTGTTATTTTTTATCTTAGCCTCACTCAAGTTCTTAGGACTCGGGTAGAATGTAGCCAGATTCTTTCCCAGACTATGACATTAATAGCCTCCAGTTCAGTTCCCAGTAGAGTCCTTGCTCTCTTCTGAAACCTTATAAGCTAAGACTCCAGGGTCCTTGTATCTGTTAGGATTTTTGCCTCTCAACCTCCCACTATAATGGTCTACTAGTCTCTGCTGATAGCATTATAGAGTTTTTCTAGCTTAACGTTCCAAACTTGCCTACATTCCTCTTGAAAAGACTTCCCAAAGACCTGTAACCACACAGCCAAACTTATCACAGCAATGACCCCACTCCTGGTGCTGTTTTTTTCCCATTAGTTTCTGTTATTGTTTCTCTGATAAAACACCTGGAAGAACAACCTCAGGAAGGAATTGTTTATACGGGCTCACATTTAGAAAATATAATTCACAAGGCAGCAAGAGCTTGCGAGCTGATTAGATTACATTCAAAGACATGAAGCAAAAAGCAGTGAATTCTGGTATAAAACTCACTTTTATTTTCTACTTTTTATCCAGTTCAAGACTTTAGCACTTTGAATAGTACAATCCACATTTAAGGTAAAAAATTCTCCACCTCAGTTAACATAGTGAAGAAACTTCCTCAGAGACATATCCAGAAGTTTCCATGGCCACTCCACATCCCATTGTGAGTTCACAACCAAGCTTATCCATCACAGTTAGGGATTACGTATCTAGGGATTTGTTCATTTCTTCTAGATTTTCTAGTTTATTGTAATATAAGTTTTCAAAATATTCTCTGCTGTTCCTTTTGAATTCAGTGTATTGATCTGTTTTAACATCACTTTTAGTTTTAAAATTTATTAATTTGGATATCTTTTTCTTTTATTTATTTGGCTGTCTTATTTAACTTTACAAATAATGATTTCATTGACTATCTGTATTATTTTTTCATCTCCACTTTGTTAACTTCCACCCTGATCTTTATGATTTATTTACATCTCCAAATTTAAGTTTGGTTTGTTCCTGTTTTCCTAAGACCCTGAGTCATATCATTAGGTGATTTATTTGAGAACAGCCTCATCTTATATATAAAACACTTACAAACTTTCCTTTGAGAACTGTAAGCCAAGTTTCTTCAGGGATTTGTCAATTGTGTTTCAGAGATTGAGGTTGCTACATGAAAATGAGGTCAAATTTGAGCCTTTCACATGTTGAACTTGGGTTATCAGTGGGGCTGGGGGAGGTATGAGGACAATTCATGCATATGGGAGTCCAGGGCAGTCTGCGCACAGCAGGATTCAATTTACGTTTAGTTGACAATTTAGAGCTATGAAGTCTTTGTGGGGTTGTCTCTTAGAGTAATTATACCTCTGCGAGGATCTGTTAGTTCTTTTTGGAGAAGGTAGACTAGACCTACTATTTTTTTCTTGGATAGATTTGTGTTCATCTTATCTAACTAATAACATTTACAATGAATGTTAAATCTTTAGCTGATTTGGCATTGCTAAAGCCTGCATATGTTTTTGTTTGGAAACATCATCTTGCTATGAATCCAAAACTGGCCTCCAACTCACAATCCTCTTGCCCCAGACTCCTGAATGCTTCATTTTATAGGTGTAAACAGCCACACCTATTTTCATATTATATTTTACAAAAACATGCCTATAATGAATTTATTTGTGACAGCATTATTGTGATGTTAATATAATTGAAAAAACAAAAAATTTAACCATCAGGCAATGAAGAGCCAAATAATATACAGTAAATTCCCACTGTGGAATACTGTACAGGTGCTAAAAGAAATAGCTACTGTATATAGACTATGAAAAGAACTAAGCATATGACATGGAAAAGAGTGAAATGTTAATATATGTATGTGGATAAACATACAGACAAACACAATGTTCTATTTTTCTTCAAAAGAACACTATGCTTACATGTATGGCTTGCTTAATTATGTTTATTAATATTTATAACTTCATATTGCTTTCTAGCAGTATGTTAAATACTCATAATGTCTAAGTGGTCTAATCTCATTTTACAGTCATTCTATAAAGCAGGTAATTATTTTACCTGCTGCAAAACTTTGGAGATCCGCGCTGGGTTGCTTAGTTTTGGTTGAGCCCCAAAGAAGCTTACAAGCTCCTTTTATAGTACGTTAGAGAAACAACTGAGGTTACAGCCGAGAAGCCTGTACTTCCAGCTGCCATGGTCTGTGATGTGATTTCTGATCATCTATTCTGTGAAAGAACACAAGGCATCCTTGTATTTAGTGGCCATGTTGTACGCAGGTCACACACGAGCTCATCTGAGTAAGTTGCTTTCAAGATCGTCCCTCCTTCTGAATTGCTGCTCCGGCTTCAGAATCCTCCTGCACACACTTTTGAAGGCTCTACTTCTATATAAAAGACACCTTCAAATGGCACCCTCTGCCCATGATGTTACTACTCATTTTAGAATTCAAAAAAGAGTTGGCTTCTTGCTGGATTTAGGAACTTTGATGCATTCTGGATTTAGACTTTAAGTTCCTCTTGAAACAAATTTGTAACAATGTAATGTAATTGTTACAGTTCTAGCTGTTAGGGTAACCCAGGTCTACAGTCCAAATTAAACATTAGCTTGTACTGTGTCTAGGCTTGAAGCTGATGTACCCAAAAGAAATTTACAGAGACAATGATGTTGAAATATTTTAAGTACAAACAGGAAAGTTCTGCGCAGGCCATGAGATGGCCATTTGATCTAGTTTCCCAATCTGATTCATTTGTCGGTCCTTTCCCAGTGACCCTTTTCCCTCCCAACTTTTAGCAGTCAACTTAGCTCACTCTTTGTTAAGAGTTTTTGACAGCTGTGTATACACAAGTTGCCTCCTAGCCTTCCATATTGATTTAATATAGTTTGAATTCCATAGAGCAACTGTGTTCACTGTCTAACCTCAAGGTTTGGAATACTAAAATTTGTGCCGGAGGGCAGGGGGAGAAAGTTTTAAGTGCCTGTGTAAGTGCAGAGGGGGAGGTTTTAGTCACTAAGATTATTTTTTGGGAGTAATCAATTCCCCCTACCTTGTGCTTTCTACGGTCCAACTTGTACACACAAAGTTTTGGTTGGTTACTTTTTAGTACATTCTAGAAGGAACCGGTTTCTCACCATTCTCTGTGATTTCCATTACCCGTTTTTCAAAGGTTGTAGGTCTGAGAGTGGGAGAAAAGCTGGGGACAGGCGCTATTGTTTATGACACAGCTAATTAAGGGTATCTTCATCCTGCTTACTCCCTTTTTTGGGCAAATCAAAAAGCATGAGAAGTTAAGTTATAGGAACAGGATGTTTAGGAGAGGAACAGAACCAAATACATGGAAGTTTATCACGTTGGGGGATACTAACTTGACTATCAATTTCCACATAATGGATCTGTTTCTCAAAATTACATTATTAATAAGTAAAGATCTTTGTTACCCGGATGACCCGCCGCTGCCACCCCCACCCCCAAACGCCTTGCTAGCTAATTTGTTTGCAGGCCTCTTAAAGACATTGACAGTTTAGGTGATTTCTGGTGGCAGAAAAATGCGGGCTCCAAAGCTTTTCCTCTAACTGCAATGAATCTGTTGTGTAACGCTACAGCTGGTTCAGAGTACAGGTGCGTGCTCTTGGCTCCCGTTCTGCCCTGAGGAGGTAGAGGGGGTGAGCCCAATCAGATCAGGTGCGGGGGGAGGAGAGGAGCGCTCAGCAGGGACGCACTGTGTTGCAACCCTAGCCCATACCAAATCTCTGGGAGAGTTTCTGACAGACTGTAAGTCTCTGTGAGTTACTCCAGACCCCCAACTCTCCAGAGTGGAAAGTTAACCCTGGAACCATTCAGAGATCAGGTAGGGAATTGATGCAACTCTGAGAAACACTTCCGGTCTGAGAACCTACACAGTTTTCGTCACCTCTCGTCAACCAAAGGCTTCACATTTGAGACATCAGAACTGAAGGCTGAAATTCCTCAAGGTAAGAAGTCTCCCCTCCCAGGAAATGGACTCCTCCAATGTCCTTTTATGATTATTCAGGAACTTTCACTTTTCCATATATAGGAGTCACTCGGGAGCAAATTGTGCCGGCCGAAGGGAGCGACACATCTGTATTACATCCATTCTCTCCCTCTGCCCATCCTTACCCTGCTCTCACCTGCTCATAGGTACTTAGCAGAAGTCATCCCCGCGACTCCGCCAAAGACCAGCCTGTTGGTTTTGCAGGGGGAGGAAAAAGGAAAAAAGAGACTGCAGGCAAAGTTACAGCATTTTGAAGTTGTCACCTTGGAAAAGTGAAGTCGGAAAGTGTGCCACAATGAATGGACCTGTGGATGGCTTGTGTGACCATTCTCTAAAAGAAGAAGGAGCCTTCATGTTTACATCAGAATCTGTAGGAGAGGGGCATCCAGGTAAGTGGGTTGTCCTGAGCTCATAGGCGAGCCTGCCATCTCCAGCCTGTGCCCAGGGAGTCACTTTTACTAGACACCTTAAAAAAAGGTTCATCAGTTGCTGTAAAGACTCTCTCCAGAGTGTGAGCTACTTCTGAAGCTGTCACTCATCTTGATGCCTAGGTGGATGATGCTGCCGCCCAGCATCTCAGCCACAAGGAATAGTTGTTATATGCTATGTGTATTAACGGAACTGAATTAAATAATACATTTTTAAGTAACGCTTTCATCTATTACCGGTGACCTATTAAAGTCAATGAAAAATGGTCCTCAAGCAGGAACAAGTTTTGCACATAGATTGTGCACAGATTAGAAAGGAACAGCTCTCAGTTCTAAGGACGGTTGAGCCAGAGCTCCAGATGACAAGGTTCTCAGAGATGTTTTCTGATACAAGTATAAACTTCCTAAAGATCAGTGATTCTCAGCCTGTGGGTCATGTTAAACAACTCTTACACAGGGGCTGCCTGAGACCATGGGAAAACACGGATACTTACATTGCAAAAACACAAAAGTAGCAAAATTACAGTTAAGAAGTAGCAAAAAATTTTTTTCTTTTGGACTTTCAAGACTTAGTTTTTCTCTGTAACAGAACTTGTTCTGTTGACCAGGCTGGCTTCAAACTCACAGAGATGCACTTGCCTTCACCTCCTGAGTGCTGGGATTACAGGCATGCACCACCATGCCTGGCTAAGAAAATAATTTTATGGTTGTGGCAGGGGGAGTCTCCATAACCTGGGAAACTGTATTAAAGGGTTGTAACACTAGAAAGATTGAGAACGACTGCTATAGAGGAACATTCAAGCATTGTTTGTTGATTGTGAGGTAGGGAAGCTAAAGAGAATTCTCAGGAACAGGACCATGAGCCAGAAGCTCTGATTAAGCTGTGGAATGCAGATGCATCACCCTGCAAGGCTTGATGAAGGCAAGGGTTGGGACTGACTCCCATAGTGTCCAGTTTGCTACGTCTTGGTAGAACCTTAAGAATTCTAATTTGTAACAGCTCTAGAAGGGGCTGCTTCTGCTAGTACGGGAACACCACATTGAGAACCAGTGTTCTGGAAGAACTCTGGGGATAGGCACCTGATTTGAAGATTTAAGCACTTCTTCACGTTTATTTTGAGTGCTTATGGTGTGTGTTGACTTGCCACCGAGTCTAACTTTCCCACCTTCCTTCTTTCTCCAAGAGATTTAACTTGAAACTTGGCTTTGGACTTTTCATTACACTACACCTGTGTGCCTCATCCCCTGGCCCTCAACTGAAGGCAATCCTGGCTGCCTTCTTCCGGAAGCATTTGGTTATGTCTAGGAACATTTTTGATTGTTACATCCTAGGGCTTGGAGGCAAGATGCTCTTGGAGTCTGTTGGGTAGAGGCCAGCCATGCAGCTAAACATTGCACAATCTATTCGAGAGTTCCCATAACCAAGAATTATTTGATGCAAAATGTCAACAGTGTGGCTGTTGAAAAATCTTGGGTTGGGGCTGGAGAGATAGCTCAGAGGTTAAGAGCACTGGCTACTCTTCCAGAGGACCTGGGTTCAGTTCCCAGCACCCACACGACAGCTCACAACTGTTTATAACTCTAGTTCCAGAGGATCTGGTACCCTCACACAGCCGTACATACATGTAGGTAAAACACCAAATGCACATAAAATAAGTATAAAATTGATTTAAAAAACGGGATAGATTATTTAGTATGAGGTTTAATGTGCTATAAATAACTGTTCTCATATTTCTTTGTAGATCAATTTTCAGATCTATGTAAGACTTTAGATATATCCCTAGTACTTGACCTATATTGGGCAGCTCTATAGTTCCTGAAAGTCATCTCTTTGTTAGAAGAACTTCCTATGCCCAGAGGAAGTGAGTTCTTTGGCTTCCAGTGGCTATTTGCCTCAAGTGTGGCCCATTGTACATAGCAGCAATGTGCTTAGTGGACAGAGCATGAAAACTTGCACCATTTTACTGACTCTTTCCCTTCTTAGTGACTGTCTTAACCCTACTGATGAGACTTTGAAAGCCTGAGCTTTCTCAGAAAGAATCTTCCAGGAATGGATGTGGTTCAGTGGTATAGAGCTTGCCTGGCATGTGAAAGGCCCTAGATTTAGTGGATTTGCCCCCAGCAAGAGAAAGAAGATTTGAACCGTAATCCCAACACTTGGAAGCTGGAGAAAGGGGGGGGGGTTGAGCTATGAAGATTATCTTTGGCTAGATAGCAAGTTCAAGGCAAACTTCAAGTGTGACTGTGTCTTAAAATTCCCAGATAGAAGGATTAGGGAAGAGAGAGAGGTAGGTCCCTCAGGGGATTTGGGAATTATCAATCAGCTATCTAGCTGAACTTGCTGAACTCTGACTTGTCCCTAGATGTATAATTCCATACATAGTGGTTCCTGCATGAGCTGGGTCCTTTAAATAAATGGGATATCAGAAGTCTGTCTGTAGTTAACCTATGAATTGCTTCTAGGCATCCAGACATGTCAACACTGGCCATCAGTAATTTTTTTAGAATGTCAGGAGGCCTTTCCTGGTAGGAGTGGCAGGAGCCATGGACTCAGATGTGCCAGCATTTGCCATTGCCAGGAGGATGGCTAGAACAATCCACTGTGTGTTTCCTCATTGTTTCTGAAGGAAAAATCAGAAAGTTTACCTTTAATGGCAAGTTAATCAATATCTTAGTATCTACTTTTGAGAGCTAAATTTCTTGACTCAGGATCTGAATTCTCAAAACTAATCTGTTGGGCCAGGAGAGATGCACAGTGGTAAGAGCACTCCCTGCTTTTGCAGAAGGTTAGGGCGTGGTTCCCAGCATCCAATCCAGCTTCAGGGGACCCAGCATCCTCTTCTCAACTCCACTGGCATCTGTGCTTGCACATGCACATTCTCCTACACAGATTACATACATGTATATACACAATTAAAAATAAATCTTTACAAAAATACTCTTCAAGAACAGACCCTCTGGGCATTTTGAACATTAAGTGAAAAATAATATTCATTAAATAGAAGTCTCTTTTATTTCTTAATCTGTCAGTAGACACACTATAACTGGAAAGCAGGAGTGAATTTGTGCACAGTGTCACTTGGAGATCTCCATGTTAGACCATGTGAGTCCTTTAAGGCAAACATCAGAACAATGTCAGTTCCCAGGTCCTGCTGAGTTATATGTCAGTCCTATTTTAGCTCCACTATCAGGACATCTGACTTGAGGAGGCTGAGTGACCAGAGGGAGTGTCTGAGGGCTTATAGGAATGTTCAGCAGTGGTGCTGATGGGTTCCCTTGTGATGGTCTCTAGGGTGGCACCATATGCCTGGCTTTGTGTTTTGCATCAAATTGATTGCATTGATGGAGCCTTCAGTAGGCATTTATCTTGCCTTATCACTTAGTACCCAATCTTACCGATGTTATGAAGGATTTTAGACTGCATTCATAATTTTCCAGATGTTAGAAATAAGGAATAGGTTTGGGGAATGAAAGACTTTTTATTATAATGTGATTGTGAATTGCTTAGACTCTTAGATAAGCTAGCTTTGAAATCTATTTTCCTTTTAAGGAATTCTATAATTTTTTTCTAATGCATACTATCCAATATGAGGTGGGAATTAGAAGAAATTAAGAGTTCAAAATATTTTTTATTTCTGGGACCTCCTAGGCCAAGGAGCTGTTATATTGGCAGTTATTGGCAGCGAAAGGAGGGAAGGTCATTTTCTTCCTGTGCTATAACCACTGGCAAATCTGTCGTGCTTCAGTAAATAGCACCTCACCCACAGCCAAACTCAGTGGGTCACCAAAGTAGAGGCAGAACCTTAGAAAAGGTTCAGAGGGACTTGAGGGGCATAAGAGAGGGCAGTGGGAATTGAGTACGATCAACATGTATTATCTACACTCATGAAAGTGTCAGAAAATAAGTAAAAATTCCAAAATCTGCAAGGAACCATCTGATGAAATATTTCTTGTATTTAAGAAAATATCTTTTTTATTTTGATAGATTTGATATGCAGACTGATAAAAATGTTAAATTATTTTTAGCATTTAATTTTATCATGCTTAACAATGGTGTAATCGGTTACACTTAGTATTTGTTCCTTTTTAGATAAGATCTGTGACCAGATTAGTGATGCAGTGCTGGATGCCCATCTCAAGCAAGACCCCAATGCCAAGGTGGCCTGTGGTAAGAGACAAGTACCCTTTTTGCTGGAGACCTAAGTATGTTGGACAGAGAAGTTCATGGTGGACATAAGACCATATCATCAGGTCCAAAGTCAATGTTCTCTTGTCTGCAGGAGATTTCTTCTTCAAGCGATCTTCCTATGTTGTATCAGGGAGGAAAAGCATTTCTTTCCAGAGATAGATTCAACTAGGATTTGATTCAACTAGGATGTCATCACTACTATAACTACCAGAGGGCTGGATAGGAATATGACTCTCCTAACACAGGTTTCGTTAGGAGTAAGGGAGCCTCTAAAAGTTCTTGGATGAATCTTCCAGAAGTAAAAAGCTCAAAATGTCTGGGGTTGTCTAGAAACTCATTTTTTTTCTTTTTTATTTTTTTATTTTATTTTTTATTTTTTTTTTATTTTTTAAATTTATTTATTTATTAAGGATTTCTGCCTCGTCCCCACAACCGCTTCCCATTTCCCTCCCCCTCCCCCGATCAAGTCCCCCCCCCCTCATCTGCTCGAAGAGCAATCAGGGTTCCCTGACCTGTGGGAAGCCCAAGGACTGCCCACCTCTATCCAGGTCTCGTAAGGTGAGCATTCAAACTGCCTAGGCTCCCACAAAGCCAGTACGTGCAGTAGGATCAAAAACCCACTGCAATTGTTCTTGAATTCTCAGTATTCCTCATTGTCCGCTATGTTCAGCTAGTCCGGATTTATCCCATGCTTTTTCAGACCTAGGCCAGCTGGCCTTGGTGAGATCCCAATAGAACATCTCCATTGTCTTAGTGTGTGGGTGCACCCCTCGTGGTCCTGAGTTCCTTGCTCATGCTCCGTCTCCTTCTGCTCCTGATTTGGACCTTGAGATTTCTGTCTGGTGCTCCCGTGTGGGTCTCTGTCTCTGTCTCCTTTCATCGCCTGATGAAGGTTAATATTCCTGAGGATGCCTATGTGTTTGTCTTTGGATTCACCTTATTTAGCTTCTCTAGGAACATGAATTATAGGCTCAATGTCCTTTATTTATGGCTAGAAACCAAATATGAGTGAGTACATCCCATGTTCCTCTTTTTGGGTCTGGCTTACCTCACTCAGGATAGTGTTTTCTATTTCCATCCATTTGTATGCAAAATTCAAGAAGTCCTTGTTTTTTACTGCTGAGTAATACTCTAATATGTATATATTCCATACTTTCTTCATCCATTCTTCCGTTGAAGGGCATCTAGGTTGTTTCCAGGTTCTGGCTATTACAAACAATGCTGCCATGAACATAGTTGAGCATATACTTTTTAGAAACTCATTTTTGATGGCTCTGCATGTCTGGAACCTCCTCTGGTTTTCTTCCCTAGCTTGTGGTATACCTCACATGTTAAAATAATTTAGGCATCTCATTTACCAGTGTCTAGGAACAGCAGTTCCATCAACTGTCCAAAATCAAACCAACAGCTTTCCAGAGGGTTATTATTGTTGAATAAATCATTGAGGCCCTTGTCTACTCCCATACCCGCTAATGTTTCTTAGAACTCCATGTAGGCAAAATACCTTTACTGTTGCTTGTGGGATAAGTCTTCCAACGTCAAATCTTTGCCTGATAGAAGGCCTTGTCACACAAGATAGCCCTTGACTCCAGAGCCTGAAGACCCAGGTCTGACTTCTGACCTTACTAATGGGTCCACAGTGTTGGTTGTACCTGGACCTTTGCAATAGCTTATGGGGCAGAAAGCCTCAGTGTGGAGACCAGAGTCCACTGTCAGTGTCTGTTCTGTGTCCCCTCCTCTAGAGGCATCTCAGCCCATGTCATGTACATCAGATCCCATGCTACTCTGAGGGTAGACCCTTGAGCTTCTGTCTGCTGTTCTATGACTCTTTCCTGCCTTCCTTCCCTTCCAGAGACAGTGTGCAAGACAGGCATGGTGTTGCTGTGTGGGGAGATCACCTCAGTGGCCATGGTTGACTACCAGCGGGTGGTGAGAGACACCATTAAGTACATCGGTTATGACGACTCCGCCAAGGGTAAGGATGGGCTTGCTGCTTCTCTGTGTGTAGATCTCTACTGAGTGCATCCGTCTCCCAGAGGGAGTCAAATCTGGTGCTTCAGTTTTATAGAAATATAAATTCTGTTAGGAGGGCAAGCAGCTGTACTGCAGCTGGTGGGGCCAGCATGTACCTGTCCACTACTGACAGGTCTCATTTAAGGTCCAGCCTTCCTGGTGCTGGCAGCTTGGAACAGACCTCTTAATGAAGACAGCTGCCCTCTAGTGACAGCATGCTCTATGCCAAGAACAGGTGCCAGTGTCTACATATGTCCTCTGACTTCATAATTCCAGAACCCCTGGCGCGTTTCTTATGGACATGAGGGTATCCCCGTTTAGAGTATAAATACAGTGAGATGCCACCGGGTCAGTGCTCCTATACTTTCTACTGAGCTACACTGCATCTCACTGTAGATGCAGGGAATGGAGCCTCATTTTCAAGTACCAGACCCTGATCACAGGTAAAAGAGACAGGGCAGCTCAGGTTAGCACCCATTCCAGGTGGTGTAGAAACTGACACCCAAGGGAGGAGTACAGACAAGGTGAGGAAGGGAGGGGACTGGGAAGCACCAGGTAATGCAAGCAGAGGTGAGGGCTTCTTAGGAGATGCCACTGCTCAATGCCTGTGTGGGTCAGGAAACCACCAAGCCTGGGAGTGCATCAGGAGACTCAGGGCATGAGTGCCCTCTTTGCAAACATGTTTTGCTAGAGCCCCCAGTGCCCTTTATCTACACGGGCTTCCTGCATAGGGTTCTGACCTGACTTCTTAAAAGTTCCACTATAGTCTCTAACAGTAGATACTCAGGTAATTCCAGTCTTAACCTTTTTTTTCAGATTTATTTATTTAAAGAAAAACTCCCTTTGTGTCTCTGTTCATCCTCTCTCAATTCCCAGAGGTCACCGTGAGAGATGTGTTGACTTTGAACAATCATAAGAAAGCCTACTTCTTGGGGGTTGGGGGTGTTTTAGAGTGGCTAGAAAGAGAAAGAGTGCATGCAAGTTAATATGTGAGGGCTTCATAGAAGAAACATCCTCCCGGAGAACAGCATCTTGAGATGTTACCATGTATAGCCTTTCCCCATTATACCTTAAGAAACAGTTTATTTATTCAAGACCAAACCTTGCATTAGATAACAAAGAAAATTTCCATGTCCTTTAGAAAGGGCTAACTGAAACAGCCCAAGTCTGGCTGAACTGTACTTGGTTAACACTAGGACAATATATTATTTAGACTCGATGATTAGGCAAAATGGAAAAAGTCTTAATAAGCAGATCAGAGACCGTTGGCACCTCTAAAGACTAGTCACTGATTTCTACACCACAAACATCCACTGGGAGATGGCAGGGAGTGGGGAGGGTAGGCAAAGAGCAATGATGACCACATGCTTGGGGTAGGGGGACTGCTTGTCCTCAGATGACCCACTGTGAGGTATTCTACGTGAATCTGTTTTCATCTTATGCAATAAGGGAGAAGAATTGCATAAGTAAAATGTCCAGAGACACTAACTAGAAGCTAGTCAAGTTTGGGTGTCTGGGGAGGAGCCAGAGGAGGAACATTCTGTCCAGAGATACCTAGAGGAGGTGGAAAAATACATAGTGCTTAAGGCTAGCTCTAAGTTTGTTGTCTAAAGGAGTTCTGGCTCCATGACAGGGGTTGCTGTTAGTAAGGCTTCCTTGAGTTAGCAACCAGAATGCCAGAGAGGGACCCCCAACTCTGTGCTGCAGATTTGAAGAGGGGGCCTGGGCCCCAGACGTTTAACTCTTTTATTTGTCATAGGATCCCAGATCTAGAAGACCCTCTAGATGGTTCACATATATGGTGCTTATTTTTCAGGATGTGTGTATATAATAAATATAGATATATGTGTGGGTGAGGCATATAGTTTGATTTCTAAATGACAACATTGGAAAGAGCCTTGCTCTTCAATAAGTATAGGGATAATTTCTCTTTTCCTTCCACTCTCTCCTTCCCCCATCTCTTCCTCCCTCCCTTCATCCATCCATTTCTTCCTCTCCTTTTCTTTTTATTAGATAGGGCTTAACATAGCCCAGGCTGGCCTAAAACTCTGAATGCAGCCAAGGACAGCCTCCTGCCTTCACTTTAAAAGAGTTGGGCACCGCCCAACAAGCAGGCACCGCCATGTCCTGCTGGTGCTGTGATTTTCAGATGGGATTCTGGATGGAGGGCTCCTCTGTGGCACTCAGGGAAGCAAGGCTTTAAGTTGCTCACCTCCTTGTCAGATGTCCTTCATGCTGTTTGGTTTGTGTCATTGTTGTGGGTTGTTACATTTCTGTGTAGGGTATACTTTTTTTAAACCAAGATATAATTGAATACAGTAAAATATGTCATGGGGAATCTTTTCTTTTGAAAGAGTTCTATATGGCCATGGAAGAAAATTTAAGGTCTTTCAATATCCGGAGTCTCAGCTGGGAACAAGAGGCTCCCTCCCCTAACACCAAATGCCACTTCAGTGATTTCGAAGCCCACCAAGAAACTTACAGTCCTGTCTTGACACATGTCCCCACTCGGCTTGCTTTTGCCCAGGCTTCGACTTCAAGACCTGCAATGTGTTAGTGGCCCTGGAGCAACAGTCCCCAGATATTGCCCAATGTGTCCATCTGGATAGAAATGAAGAGGATGTCGGTGCAGGAGATCAGGTGTGTTGACTGTGTAAGGGGTGAACCCTGTGGTTTGTTTGGACTCAGCTATGATCCATGACGTGAAGCTGGTCTGGTCAATAACACTGTGGGTGGTCTCATCACTCTAGAGATCCTGTAATAAGCTAAACACTGTTTGCAACCTGGCAGGCTGTGTGGTAGAAGGCTCTGCTTGCTAATAACAGATATAGGCTTGCTTTCAGAGTGTTGGGGGTCAGAGGCAATGCCTTCCCCTTCTAAAATGCCCCAGTGCAAATTGTTCTGTAGAGGGAACCCCCATAACTGTTGAAACACCAAACAAAATATGAGATCTGGAAAATGTTACTGCTCTGAGCTCTAAGGCAGGTGTCTTACTCCAGGGCCTGATGTTCGGCTATGCCACGGATGAGACAGAAGAATGTATGCCCCTCACCATTGTTCTTGCCCACAAACTCAACGCCCAGATGGCAGATCTAAGGCGCTCTGGTGTACTTCCTTGGCTGAGACCTGATTCTAAAACTCAGGTGAGCTGCATTCATTGCCTCCTGCAGGAGCTTCATGCTCAACAAATCATTTTTGGTTCTCGCCATATTTATTTTATTTTAAATTAACTGATTTTACAACACACACAACACACACACACATTCTCTGTGTTTGATTTGATGCCCTGTTATCCTCCCTTCTCTCTCCCACTTCCATTAAGCCTCTTCTATTTTCTAACAAGTTCTCCCTCCCACTGTTATGTCTTTATTGATGTGTATAACCCACTGCTTTTAATTATATGAGTTCGAGTAGGGGGGTTACTTACTTGAAGAAAGGTACCTTGCCGTTTATTGCCTATAATTCTTCAGGGAGAGTGGGATGTTATGAGCCTGTCTCCTTTCCATGATAAAATGTTGGTAGGCCCAGCCTTGTGCTGATATCATGCAGAGAGCCAAAGCTGCTGTGGATTCATGGGAACAATGCCATGTCCGATCCAGAAATCAGCATTTCACAACATTCCTTCCCACCTCTGGCTCTTCCTGCACTCTTTCCACTGCCCTGTTCCCTGCATTTCCAAGGGTGCAATAGAGACATTCCATTTAGGGAGAGGTATTTAACGATCACTTATTCTTAGCGCTTTGACCAGTTATGAGTCTTTGCATTGCTGTCACCTATAGCAGACAGGATCAGAAGTTTATGAATATAAACCAAAATATTTAGAAGGCAACTTGACACCACATGTATTTAGTAAAGCAATGGTAGTAGGTTCCTTAGTAGGGCTTGTGCTCTCCTCAGCTTTTGACCAGGTTTACAGTACCAGGTATGAATTTCCTCCCGTGGGGGAGCCTCAACTCTATTTAGAAAGTGATTGATTACACCTCGGTCCTGTTTTTAAGATGAAAATATTCTATTCCGGCACTCCATTTTGAAAACAATCATCATTTGAAAACTTTCAGGCTAAACAAAAAATCAGGCAGGCTGGAAATATAATTCTATTTTTTGTTTTGTTTGGTTAGCATGTGCAGACTCTAATGATTCTTCAGTTCCTGTCACAGGCTTATTCTTCACCAGCTTCAGACATGGTGGTTCCTGTCTTTATATGCACACAGGTCTGGTCTTCTGACCATGAGCAGATTTGTCTCTCTGAGATCACCTTCCTTGTCTTTATTTCTCATATACCCTTGATGTGTCCAGTTCCCACCCTGTTGGCTCTGGCCTCCCACCTCCCCATCATGTTGAAACCCGTTTCTGTTTCAAGGACAATGGTGATGTAAACACAACCCACGTGGAGCTCCCATATCACTCTTCAGTCTCCTGATGGCCTTTGGCCATTGGCTTCCTGCCCTGGCTCCTTTCCTGTGTTCCAAAGTGTGACGCCCCAAGGTCTTGGCACATCTTCACTCATGTTTTCTCCATCTCGTCACACCCTTGGCTCATACATCTTCTACCACGGTCCCTCCAAAACAGTAGCCCCCTTTCTTACTCACTCTGCAAACTCACATGCTGAGAGCCCATTAGATGCTTCTCACTGTCACCTCTGACTAAGCTGACACCTGCCCAGTACGTTCTTCAGTCCAGCTTGGTGTCTTCTGTCTCCACGGTATTGGCATCTCTCATTTTGTCAGATGAGCATCCCTCTCCCTGCCGGCCAGCTTCCCTTGGAGTGGTTCCCACTCCACCCAAGGCAGAGATAATACTCTCTGTCCCTGAAAGGTCCTCCCTGCTTGAGAACTGCAGTTAATTTTTCCTCTTAACTGTCACATCTCTTCAGAATTCTCATGAGTTCCTACTTCCTGTGAGAGGGGGGCAGAACCTACTCGTCATTCTGCATTCAGACTTTTATGATATTTCCACCATAACTTTCCTCTGCCTGTCCCCTTCTTGGCATTTCCACTTAACTGGCATCATTTCTCTCAGGTTGTCCTTGATTATAGGACTTTTGCTCTATCCTTCATCTTGTTTGGGTTCCTTTTCTGGGGACAGTAAAGTCAATATCCTTGTGACCGCCACTTCTGACCCACCACTAGGTAGTCTTCCCCACTCCTGGACTTGTAATTGCTTTATATGCTTTGATGATAAAGTGTGTCTGTATCTAGTTCCTCCAGCAACCAGATAGAACCTTCTCAGTGAGGTGGGCTTCTCACTGAGCAGAGATCTCACATTGTTCCACCTAAAGCAAGTGAGGGGCTTATGACCCCAGTAGAATATTGTCTTGGGTTTTCATGTGCTATTCTTATGACTTTCAAGGTGGAAATGGGGTCATCAACACCTCTCAGGTATTGTTGGAGGTTATGGGACAGGACAGCTAACATGTAGACTGTGGTGGTACCAAAAGAAAGGGCTCTACATAAAAGACAACTCCAGAACAGGGGTGGGAAGAAGGCAACAGGCCCCCTAATGTCTTTTCCCTCTGGTAAGAGAGGAACAGAGGGAATGCTTTGAGAGCAAGTGTGGTAGAAAAGACCTCGTTCATTCTCCCTGCTTAATAAGAAAGAGCTTCCCAAGGCTCAGGAGCACCAAGGAAAAGAGGGAGAGGATGCATTGAGTTCTCATAAGATGCTAGTATTTGATGCCTATCATGGGGGACCATGAGCCTACTCTAGTTAATGGGGATATATGCCTGCTGGTGGTCCTATGTGGGGCTTGTCACCTGGTCATTTGTTAGCCCCATGGCCTCCTTGGTCTGCCTCTATGCTGTGTCAGGAGAGTAGCCAGCTTCCTTCTCTATAGTCCCTTTGTAAAGGATTTCCACTGTCACCTGTGTTGACTGTGGCCAGGATGAGTCTTTCCACCTGAACAAATTGCTGCTGCTGATATTGATAACCAGGGTTGGCAGTCCAGAGGCTATTTTTGTACCAGGTCAGAACTCTGGTTTCCATAGTGTATTTTTCCCCGTATCTGCTGACATGGCAAGATAAGAGCAGGGCTCAGGCCCTTCACTCTGCCGCCCCGTTCCAGGAGTTCTGCAAGGATGCAGCATGGTATTTGCCTAGGAGGGATGGAGACATTAGGGCTCAGTTGGAAACTGCCAGGTTAGAGCATTTCCTCGAGACTGAGCCTCCTCCAAGGCTACAGGAGGTAACTCTGATCCTAGAGCTTGCCATGGGTCTCCTTGGGAATCCGCATCCCACACTCTAGCTCCCTCTAGCCTTATGCCTGGATAATTCCCATGGGTGAACAGTGTAGGATTTAAACATTAGTCTCCAATGATTGTACACTTGCCCATCTTACTAAGGTCATATGGCAAGTGGCCAGGGCTCTTTCTCTCCCTTCCTCTAGATCACACTCTGTTGCTTTTTAGATCAGCAGGACACAGAGTCAAAGTATAATATGTATCTCATTGGCTATACTTGATCTTAGCCAAAAGTCTCAAAAGTTGTAGATACCTTTGGATGGCTGTCTAAGGCACCTTGGGTGCCTTATAATAATAAGACCTCATTGCAGCACACCTCAACAGGGCAATGCTTGCTGCAGGGTCTGAACTGGGCTCTGTAGTGGAAAACTGTTCTATGCCTGCCAGCCAGTCAGTCAGACTCCTACTTAGGTATTTGGTATAGGCACACTTCTGCAAGCATCTCATGCTCCTAAACTCCGTAGATACTGATCTGATGGGTACATACTGTCCCAGGTAGCATGGAACATGTAGCCCAGCATATAGTTCATGGACTTGAGTAGCAATTTTCTGCTAGTCAGAGCCTCGGCTATAAGTCTCTGGGTCACACCTCCACAATATTTTGTGTCATCCTGATGAAGGTATTTGTAAATCTGGAACCTAAGCTTTGTTGTATGTGGAATGGGGCAACAAGGGCTACCAATCTTGGATGTGGCTTCCAGCATGCAAAGCTTATTCCTTTATTGCTGCTTTCTTGACCCTCATTTGCTGCCCCCATCCTTCCACTCTCCAAGCCCAGGGCATCCTATCTGCTTTTCCCTGCCACCTGAAATATCAGCTGTCTGTGCCCAGTGATGTGTCAGTAGAACACTCACTGGGTCTCCTGATAGCATTTTGTCTGTGCTACTGTGGGAATGAAGAGCTTTGGTTCAGCCTGAGCAAGGTTTGGCTCTTGGGCATTTCACAAACTGGCTGTGTGATGTCAGGCAAGTTCTGATCTCTTAGTTTATTTCATTTGTAAAGTGGGGGTCACAACACCTCCTCACTTGGTAATATACCGGATGGGCACAGGACTGGACGTGGTGGAGGTGAATGGTTAAGGCGTTTGCATGGCTTGAGCTGTCAGGAGCTTGTAAGTCGGAACCTGATCCCCACTCACGTGGCTACCACTTTACCTTCTTTGGGTGAAGCACCAAGACAAAGGGGATTCAGAGCTTGTTGCCCTTCTGACTTAACTATCCTAACTAGAGATGCTATCATCCTGTCCCTACAGATGACAAAGTTTGCTGGTCCATTATCCTTCACTGAGGGTAGAGGATCACTTGCCAGGCTTTTTTTCTGTCTCAGAGGCTCAATATATGCAAAAATATGGCCTTGGTTAAAGATTCTTCTTGGTCGTTCACATTCTAGGACCAAGGTACCCTTGTCTCTGCCAATGACAGGTGGACCGTGAATGCCTGTGTTCACTCATAGAAGTGGGGCCAGTCCAGAGGAAGTGGCAAGAGGGTTTTGGCTCGAGAGGGTCATTGGCACTAATGGTGTCTGGGATAGAAGAAAAGCCTGATCATCAGTAGAAAGATAATGCCCCACGTGTGTACATCATTCTCTCATCTGTGGTACTGAGCAATTAACAAACGTAAGCATGTGTCATAGGAGCTCTCCAAAAAGGCTCTAAGGACAAGGGGACTCACTTGGTCCCTCAGGACCTCAATCGGCCTCCTGGGGGATCTGTGCCTGGCAACCATGTGGCCTCAGCTCAGGCCTGGGTCTCACAGTATCTCCCCGACGGACAGGTGACAGTTCAGTACGTGCAGGATAATGGTGCGGTCATCCCCATACGCATCCACACCATCGTCATCTCTGTGCAACACAATGAAGACATAACGCTGGAGGCCATGCGCGAGGCCCTGAAGGAGCAGGTCATCAAAGCTGTGGTGCCAGCCAAGTACCTGGATGAAGACACTATCTACCACCTGCAGCCAAGTGGGCGGTTCGTCATCGGAGGTCCCCAGGCGAGTACTTGTCTCCAGGAAAGGCCCTGCTGCTAGATCTTGGTGACCAAACTGCTTGTTTTTCAGAATACACCCAGGACAAGAGGTCGTTCTGAGTGGCTTAGCAGTGTCTGCCAATCAGCTAAATTGTTCGGTGATCTTTGGCCTATTTTGAAGATACTCTGTATCTGTTAATATGTCAAAAGGGGGAACATGTCTATAGCAATCTCCACTTAGGGCGGTCAAGTCCCATCACCCAGCTCTTCCAGATGTTATCATGCTTGCCCACAGTTGCCACCACCTCCCCGTACTCGGTCAGGCACTTACTCATGCTTGCTCATGGCAGACGTTCCCTGGCAGTGCTTGCTGAATATTTGCTCTGGGGTCCCTAGCTGTTATAGGCAGGGCAATGGATCTGGGGTTTTATAAAAGCAGATAGAGCTGTGGCCCCTTTCTCCTCTATGCACACAGCACTAGGGAGGTTGGGATTGGCAGAGCTGATGGTGTCTGTCAAGGCTGTGTACCCATCACAGGTTCTGTGGTCAAACAGTGTTGGTATTGGGCAGAAGGAAGGTTAAAGTCCTTGTTCTCTTGATGGATGTCTCAAACTCTAGATAGGTAAACGTGACGTGTGGATCTCTAAATAGGATTAGAGTTACTGGGTTCTCTCGCCAAGTTGTTAAATTTAGCTCCTTTGCAAGGTAATCTTGAAGTGCCGCAGCTCAGAGCACATTTGTGAAGTGAGCGACAGGAGGCACTGGCCTGAACCGCAGCCCCAGGTTGTATTTACTGCAGTACAATTCTGCCACAGGTGGACCGCTTCTTATAATGGACTCAAAAGTGAAGGCATGACCCCCAGATGACCTCTAGCCCGTCTCCTGCACTTTCCAATGAGGCTTTGGCAGGTTGCCTGATTTTCATAGCTGGTCAGTGCCAGGACTGGGACAAGAGCCTATGGTTTCTGCCTGATTAAAAAGGGCCTTTGAGAATGCCCACAGGTGACTCAGGACATCCTTTCTAAGGCCTCCTGCTTTCTCCAGCATCCGGGGCCTCTGGTTCTCATCTCTTTTCCATTCGTTGACCTCTGCAGGGGGATGCAGGTGTCACAGGCCGCAAGATTATTGTGGACACGTATGGAGGCTGGGGTGCTCATGGTGGCGGTGCCTTCTCAGGAAAGGACTACACCAAAGTGGACCGCTCAGCAGCTTATGCTGCCCGCTGGGTGGCCAAGTCCCTGGTGAAGGCTGGGCTCTGCCGGAGAGTACTTGTTCAGGTAGGCTACCCCCATCTTGTTCTTGCCAAAGACCTCAGTCCCACCTGTGGTTGGGAGATACTGGCTCAATGGGAAAGCCCCCTCTTTGACATTGGTTGCAACCCTGCATATATTGCCCTGGTCACCATGGCTGGAGCTGTGGCAAACTAGGGAAGGAGAGGAAAGAAGGGCTGCCAGGCAGGAGAGGTAGTGGTCCTGTCAGTAGGGGAAATGTGATCCCTGCTGCTCTGCTCTGTGAAATCTCTTCGATGACGTGAGTCCCTGAGTCAGATCTTTCCGGAAGGTGTCCTATGCCATTGGTGTGGCAGAACCGCTGTCCATTTCCATCTTCACCTACGGAACCTCCAGGAAGACCGAGCGGGAGCTGCTGGAGGTGGTGAATAAGAACTTCGACCTCCGGCCTGGTGTTATTGTCAGGTAAAAACGCTAGCATGCTGCTGTTGCATGGGACCTTGCCACGCCTACACCCAGCTGGACACCTGCACAGAAAGAGCTTTGCAGCCTCTTAACCAGCAAGAGGTTCTCAAGTTCTGCCCTGTAGCACAGTTCATGACCAGAATGTGGGTTGCCTGCTTTTCAGCTAAAGGAGGCCCCGCAGACATGATCCCTGGTGAGGCCATCTTTTCTCAGCTGTGGCATCTCAGGCCAAAGGACTAGGAATCCAGTGGGCACATCCATTCCTCCAGGCTCCCATGGCATCTCTATTTTCTGGTTCTTGGCTGTGATAGCACTGGCCTAGGCAAAGCCAAGGGAGTGCAGAGAGTTCCCTCAGGTGGCGTTTACATCCTGGTGAACCCTCAGCTGTCTCTGACCTTGGAGCCTTCCCTTCCTAACCTGAACAGGATAGGGCTGTGGTATCGATAGGGAACAGGTGTGTGTGGGGGAAAAGGTCTCTGAGGACACCCCTGTAGCGTAACCTTTCCCATTTAAAAATGATCATTGCCTCCTCTGACTGCAGGGACTTGGACCTGAAAAAGCCCATCTATCAGAAGACTGCGTGCTACGGCCATTTCGGGAGAAAAGAGTTTCCCTGGGAGGTCCCCAAGAAGCTTGTGTTTTAGAGCTGATGGGAGGTTTGGCTTTGTTTCATACTCTCCTTTCCTCTACGGAGACTCCCAGGTCTCCTTAGCCTCTTTCTCCCCGCTCTCACCCCGAAGGCCAAGCCAGCTTCTTCAAACTTTCTCCTACCCCGCAATCTGCAAGCATCTCATGAATGACAGATGGCTTTCTGGTGTGAGGTTACCAGGTCTCCTTGCAAGGATAGTCAATGTTCCCTGTCTGTCCCTCAGATAACAGCAATGTTGATTTTGTGAAAAAGACACCCCTGTTAGGCATGAAGTCGCTCCCTCATCTTTTCCCATAGTCTGAACCTGACTAGGCCATCTATTCCTCCCAGCTGGGCATGGACCCAGATGAATATATTGCATATACCTTGGGCTTCCCTTCACATTTGCAACCAGAGCTCCTGAGCCAGGGCTTTTTCAATGAAATGTGGTCAGTGTCCCTTGAGCAACTGCACTGTTTGAGGGACTGAGCTGTGTTTTCTCCATCACAGCACAATAAGGTGGCCTCCTTACCCTCCACATTAACAGACGAGGAAACCGAGGCGCAGAGAGTCTACAGAGCTCTCGCTGGTTTCCACAGCCACGTGTATCAGTGCCAAGAAATAGAGTTGGAGTTTTGACTTTATCACTCTCGTATCTGCATCCCAAACCAGATGTTGGCTTGAGTGAGGGCCAAGTGGATTGGCTTGAGGCTGTGGGGCCTTCCTGGGAATTAGGAGATGAACTCGGTGGCTCTTGGAAAGCTCTGGAAAGTGTTACAGAAAATCACATTTGTTCTGGAAGAGAGCTGAGGGCAAAATTGTCAAGCTGGCTGTAATCTGGAACTAAGACGCTTCATAGTCCTTGCTCCCATCTTTCAAAGACAGGTGTGAGAGTGCCCTGGCCATGGAGTTTAAACACAGACAGCCTCGTGTGTTTTCATCCCCATAGAGGAGAGGCCTCTTGTTTCAGCACAGGCAACCAGTCTCTGATGGGGACCCTCCCCACTTCAAGGCTTTCTCCTTTCCTGGACCTTCATGAGTATGCAGTCTGACGGCTGCTTGGGAAATGAATGACTTAGGTGCAGAGCCAGCCTCCAAGCAGTGGACAAGTTACCCAAGATCTCATAAGAACCTGCTTTAACCAGGTGGCCTTTGAAGGGCGTGATGATCTACCAGGGTCCTGGAAGCCCATGTTCCTATGCTGTCCCATCATGATTGGCACCACCTATCCAACCTGTCCCTAGCCAGGACCTCCCCACATCAGACCCCTTCCAGCTTCCAGAGCCACGGGTTCAGAAAGGGCCCTGGTTCACAGTGCTGGTTCTGGCTAGGAGAACCTAGCTGGGGCAGCTTTTTCAAGGAGCAGATGCCTTGACTGGCCCACAGAGACCTCAGCATTTCCCTTTCCATCAGGTTGAGGGATAGCAGAAGGGAAAGTCCTAATGGCCAAAAAACCCTGGAGCCATGTGTGACATAGAAGAATCCTGGGTCTCTCCATAGGTTTCCTGGCTGCCTGAAGCCAAGTTCCTCATACCAGAGGGTAGGATGGGTGTGCTGATGGCAGAGTTCCTGTAACCTAAACTATATCTAAACACACAAATCCAGAATTGTATACTTCCCTCAACTGTAAGAGTAATGAGACTCTCTTTTTTTCTTTCAACATTTCAGATGAAACAAAGCCAATATTTGTTACAATTACCTGCTAGTACCATGAATAAAAACCCAAGAAGCAACGACTCTGTGTTTTCTGTCCCCCTAGTGCGTATGTGTGTGTGTTCATGCATGTCTGGGGAGGACACTGCCTTATTCCCTTGAGAGTCTCTCATCAAACCTGGAGCTAGGCTGGAGGTCAGCGAGCCCTAGTGATTCTAGTGATTCCTTATCTTCATTCCCCAGCATCACCGTGCTGGAGTGATGGGTGAGTGCAGGACCACACAGCTTTTAAAGATGAGTGCCAAGGATTTGAACTCAGTATTCTTATCCACAAAGAAGTCTCCCCGGCCCCACTACGCTTGTGTGTGTGTGTGTTTTTTTTTTTTTTTTTTTTTTTTTTGCAAAGCACTTCTGACTTCTCAACCCCCAGAAATTCTGGGTACCTTTTTTTAAAAAAAGATTTATTTATTTATTATGTATATAGCGTTCTGTCTGCCTGTATGCTTTCTGGCCAGAAAAGGGCACCAGATCTCATTACAGATGGCTGTGAGCCACCATGTGGTTGCTGGGAATTGAACTCAGGACCTCTGGAAGAGCAGTCAGCGCTCTTAACCTCTGAGCCATCTCTCCAGCCATGGGTACCTTTTTCAGGATTGCCCCAGCCTTGACCCGTATGACTTCCTCCAGCCCCTGTGTACCAATGCTTTCTCATCAACCAGCTCCTGTACTGTGACTGAGTTACTAGAAGTGCTCCATGGCCCTCTGAGTTAGAGATGCTTTGTAATTCCCCTTGCAGTGGCCATCAAACCCTGGGGCTGTGTTGAAGCAAGTGGGGGCTGGGACCTTTACAGTCTCCTAGGAGGAGGTTGGGGGAAGGTGTCAGTTTTGGGACACGTGCTTACATGCAGGCTGAGAGCAGGTCTATATTGCTCTTCATTCTCATCACCTGGATGCCAGGAAAGACTGGGGTGTAACTAAGACCCAGGCCTATTGAGGAGAGAAGAGACAGGCAGTCTCAGGTCCTGTGGGTGACTGATTCTGTATCTCAAGCAGCCTCTAGACCTCACAGAAAACGGGCACACATTCTGCAAGAATTTCTATGAGCATCAATACCACCTACCAAACACCTGGTTGTTGCAGGAGCTGCGGTCTGCATTCCTGCCACCCTAGCTACCTAATTTTCTGTCCTATCAAAGGGCCAAGGCAGTCTCTTTATTTAACCAATGAAATTAACACAAAACAGAAGACTCTCCCCATCACCCGGGAATGCTTATTTGTGGGAGGAAGGTTTACGAACGAAAAAGGAAAACCATTACTAAAAATAAGAAGCAAAGGGCTCAAAATTCCAGGCTGGGTGGGAGGGGGCCTTATGAAGTTCTACCACCTGCTGAGGACCTATTGGCAATTGTTGATGCTGAGAAAAGGAAGAGCCAGTGTTCTTCACAGATGCAAGTCCTGAGAGGCTCCAGGAGATGAACCTATTCTATGCAAATACAGGCAACACTACGTGCAATCAGTGATTTTTTTTTTTGCACATGTAGTTGGGAGAAAATAGGGGTGGGTACAGGGGTGAAATTGGAGGGGAGGGAAATGGGTGGATTAGGTAAAAGTACATTTACATACATGTATGACATTCTTAAACAATAAAAGAAGAAAGAAGGGTTAGGAACATGGATCAACAGTTAAGATGCTTGCTGTACAAGCAGCAAGCATAAGGAGTAGTGTTCAGTTCCCCAGAATCTAGCTTAATTTTGGATGGGCATGAGAGCCCATCTATAATTCCAGTTCTTAGAAGGTAGAGGCAGGGAATTCCCCCAGAGCAAGGTAGACTGTCCCAACAAGCTGAGTTCAACTGAGAGATCTTGCCTTAAGAAATAAGGTGGAGAATGTTTGTGGAAGATTGCCAATGTCAGCCTCTACTTGTGTGTGCACATATGCATACACACATGTGCTCACATACATAAGGACATGCGTATTCACACCCCACACACACATGCAAAAAGAAAATAAGAAGGAGAATATACCTTTTGAGCTATGGAATTCCCAAAAGTCAAGATTGTAGCAAAATAGGGATGTCTATTTTCTATCCCTGTGATGAAACGCCATGACCAAAAGCAACTGAGTGACAAAGGGTTTATTTCAGCTTACAGCTGTAGTATATCATGTGACGAAGTCAGGGCAGTAGCCGAGAGCAAGGAACTGAGCCATAGAGGAAGGAAGTCAGGGCAGGAGCCCAGAGCAAGGAACTGAGCCATGAAGGAACACTATTTACTGGCTTGTTCCTCTCAACTGGCTCAGCCTGCTTTCTTATACAACCCAGGACAGTCCGGAAGTGACACCATTCCCAGTGAGCTGGGACTTCACATGGCAATTATTAGTCAAGACAATCTCCAAAGGCTTGCCTGTAGGCAATCAGACAGAGTCATTTTCCCAACCGATGTTTCCCCTTCCCAGAAGACTCTAGTTTGTGTCAAGTTGACAGAAAACCCAAGCAGCACCGTAGAAGAAGCAAAGGAGGTTGGGAAGGGACAAAGGGCACAGAGGAGGGGACTCAGGAGGAGGGTTGTCTTTGAAAGTCAAGACTGAGAAATACCGCTATGAGTTTGATAATCTGAGGTTTAGAAAGGTCTTACTGTGCCAAATTTCTGCTCTGTGTGATGTTCTATGTAATTTTTTTTTTTCAAGATAGGGTTTCTCAGTAGCTATGGAGCCAGTCCTGGAACTCACTCTGTAGACGAGGCTGGCCTCAGACTCACAGAGATCCGCCTGCCCCTGCCTCCCATAGTATTTTAATTTTAATTAGCTAAAAAGGAAAGCATCCTTTTTCCTCAAACTGCATTCCAGCACTATTATAGAATTTAATAATTTGTGGCCACTTAACTATCCACATTATGATTTCTAGGATATACAAATCGTTAGTTTTAGCTAGGTGTCTGGTAATATGGGTGTTCCTAAACATGATGGCCCAGCTGATCTGGGATCAGCTCAGCCAGAGACCTTTAAAATGTCAGAACATTCTAGGTTCCTGCTCTAGGTGTGGCTCAGTGAAGAGATCAAAAGAGGCTCTCTGTAGCTTTCCCTGAGTTGATGCAATCGTGATTGGATTAGGGTGACTTCGGGCAATGTAGGTGTAGGAAATGACGGCCCAGGAGGGCGTTGCTGGTCTGGCTTCAGCAGGGTTGTTACCCCATGGCCATCGGATACTGGCCATAGTGGGGCTGAGCTCAGCCTTCATGGAAAGAGAAGTTAAGTGGTCTTTTGTGTCCCTCAGCCCTTCTTCACCTCATCGGAACATCTGGGCCACAACACCTGTCTCATCACCACCACCATTCCTCAGGTTCCCATCCTGAGGGCTTCAGGGCAACCTGTATGGGGTTTGTGGTATCTGCAACCTCAGGGCCAAGACTGATGAAGTCAGGGCTGTTATGCTCAGGAGCCTGGCTGAACTAAGGTCAAACATGTCAGGGCTGTGTGCACCATGGACAAAGAATAAGGCCAGAGCTTCTAGGTGATTTCGGAGGCAGTCTGGAGAGCTGAGGCCTGGGCCTGGTCAACCCTGAAGATCGGAAGGCTAATCTGAGCTTGCCGCATGGCTTTGGGTATTGTGGACAGACAGAGCCTGAACTGGAGTCTTTATGAAAACCTAAATAGAGCTTCCAGGGCCACACAAGATGAGGTGTGAACCAGGCTTATGAGCTATACTGAGACTCAGTTCCTTCATGTGATGTTGGGAATAAAAGACAGATCCTGCTGGAAGGTGAGTCAGAGATGGATGTTGAAGGCCCAAAGGGCCCATCTAGTAACTACTACTTTCTAGCCTCTAGTACCTAGTACTCAAGATCTAGTGTCTAGTACCCAGCACCTACTATTATCTAGTGTCTCGCATCTGGTACCTCACAAGAAGTCTGGAATGTGCCGTGGTTCCTGTTAGGCATCTCCAGGTGTACAGCACCGATCTGCACGCTGTGGGGAACAGAGATGGGCAGGCAGTCATAAGAGCCCTGGCTAGAGGAAACACACAAGAACAAAGATTCTGCCTCTCAGACTAGGAGAGTCAAAGCGGGAGAGAAATTCACTAGAAGGTTTAGTGAAGTCACCCAATATCCTACCTTGTCAGGCCTTCTGAGTCAAAGCAGCCCTCTGTTGAAGAGGGCGCATTCTGAAGGCTTGTTTGCACAGCCCTCCAGTTGGCTGCAATTTTCCATGCAGCCAGCAGAGGGTAGAGCTGACCCACATAACCATTGTGGAAAGGCCACCTCTGACAGTAATACTCGTTCAAGGAGACAGGATGAGCCCCCTAACGGATGTTTTTATTACTTTTCCTACCCATCCACCCAGGGCTCTTGGATGCCTTAGTGTACCTGTGCCCCAGAATCCCCCTGTCCATATAAAGCTTCGTTTTTCTCCTTTGTTGAGAGTCCTTTATTAAAGAGTAGGACCGAACACAAAATGTTATATCATGCAATACTTGCAGCAAAGATCAACTAAGAACTGTCTATATTACAAATGTAAGATACTGAGGCCTGTTGCAAGGTTACTATGGTCAACAAGTAACACAGCCCAGGAAGTGTCGAGGTAAATTCTGTGGGTCTGTGTTTCCATCTTTCCCCAACCACCCTCCCCTTCCCCCCAGCCCCCAGCCTGCTTGAGGTACTAAAGCCTGGTGCTTATGATGGTTTCCCACCTTTTCAGAGTTGGAAATAGTGGCTGAAATTAATCTCTGCTGCTCTCAGAACAGTTATTTTAGAGTCCAAAGTAGAAGGGAGCCACAGGCTTAGAAACAACCCTCTACGTGGGTTCTGTGGGTATTTTTGCTTAAGGACATCAGCCCATATCTCACTGTGGCATATGCTGTGGCATCCTGGAGCTTTATAACCCCCCTCCCCCGCCCAGCACTGTTTTGTCCATCTTGACCACTGTCGACCTGAATGGGCGGGGGGGGGGGGGACTCCATGATAGAAACAGTGCCGCTGTGTTGCTTCTGGGGAGGACCATCAAAGGATGCAGCACGTCTGCGCTGGGTTCTTGCTTTCTTTGGAGGTGCTCAAGTAGGTAAGCAATCTACCAGACCTATTCTCAG